TCTGTTGCTTTGCCAGCTCTGCACGTCGAAAAGAATTACAGCTCCTTTTTGCACGTCAAAAAGGAGATGCGGAGTACAATCATCAAAGTGTGAGACTCACAATTTTTCCACAAGTGCACACTGAAGAAGGTACCGTGACAAAGCCTATCATGACCAAGCACCAAGTTTGCTCTTGTCAGCAACCCAAAGCACCTCACAACAACACTGGCAGTTGATCCGGACAGTGTTGCAGCGGCGTTTGCACGAGCCTTCTCGGGGAAATCAGAGAGTTTTGTTTATCTCAGCGTGTGAATCCTATGCAGGTGATCTTGCTAGTATGAGAAAATTCAACTCTAAATGCCAAATGCGTCTGATCGAGAAGAATGCCAACTCTAAAACGTTTGTTTCTCTTCTTCTCTTTTGTCAGGGACAGCAACACAGTCCTCGTTTATTTCCTCACAGAAAAAACCAGAGAACGAACTCTCAGCTTTGCAAAATAAGCTTGTCAATGACCCTTAAAAAAAAAAACCTTGATACCAATTCCTTGATACACTGTCACATATCCTTGCTTTGACAAAAAACACTTTCAGTTTAGCAATTTGCTAAGCTAGAAAAAACACTTTCACAAATAAGAAAACACGCACCAGAAAATTGTCACAGAAAAACGTCACGCGTGAGAAAACTTTCGTAGAAAATTGTTCACGCTCTAATACAAACTCAGCGAAAAAAACTGCTACCTAGAAAAATTAACGCTTTGAGAAAAATTCCAGAGAAAATTTATCACGCTCTGACACAGACCCTGAACCGGAACTTGCTCTCATACCAATTTTTAATGGTAAAACTTGAGATCACACCAAGCAAACCAACAACACGAGAGACACAAGAAACACACGTTTATACGTGTGTTTCTTTATACGTGTGTGGTTCACCCTCAAGGACTCCGTCCATGGAGGAATACCCTCGTGAAAGTTTACTACTTCAATATGAAAAACTTCATCTCACTCGTAGAAGTATTAGGTTATATATATCCAAGGTAGAAGATCAATCTCATCTATAAATAGCTACATAGCTATACATGAGGTTACTCCTTAACTTGAGTTAACCTCAACAATATGAAAATTTATACTATCAATTATGAAAATGTAGAAGAGAAAAATGCGATTATGAATAATATCATGTAAATAGATTTATTACTCAATAATGAAATTCATCATAAAAAAATTCACATAAATATAAATTGCACTATTTTCAATTTTTAATTTTCAGTCTTGAAATAATTTTCTTAAAAAAATAAAAAATATGTTTGTTGAATAAGAAGAGAATAAAATATTTTAAAACTAAACATATGTATTTTTCATTACTTTTGCAAATGACGCTTATGAAGTTTCATGAAATATTAGCAAAAAAACTGATAATTCAATTCATATTTTATTAATAAAAATGAATATCATAAGGAAAAATGAAAAATTTGCAAATTATCAACAATCTGTATAGGTCCTAAAGAAAGATAAATAAGAATGATGATAAAAAAATTTCTTGTAATTCACCTCATATATTAAAAAAATGTTAAAATTTAAATTTGTTCAAAGACACATCTATCATAAAACATTTGTTTGAATGATAACAAAAATCTTTCAAATTTTTTTGAAAAAAATAGGTCTTTTTTTTTCAAAGTAACCAAAAAACACTAGATTTGATCTTGGTATGAGAAATTTGATTCCTGACAAAAGTTATTTTATAGAAGATTTGAATTTGTTGTTATTGAATATTATAAATATTATTGAAAAAAATTTAGATTCTAAAATGGTATTTAATAATCTAACTTATGTTAAGATTTCATGATGATCATGTTATGTTTGCAAAACATCATTGTATTATAAAAATGTATCAATTTTTATTAACAAATATTTAAATTAATTTAAATTAAATCTTTAAATTTAAAATAATTTACATTTAAGACTTTCAATTTTCAAAAATCTATGATATTTTGATAAGATATATTTTTTTGGATATTTACATTGAATAAGCTGGGACCTAATGTTATATTCATGTTAAATATATGTTTGGAGTACAAAATTATGGTTGAATACAAACATGTATAGTATCTGAATAATATTCCCTAATAATATTCATTTTAATCATTTGATTGGTTTTTTTAAGTTACATTATATTTTTTTAATAACATAATATATGGAATATATTTTGGTCAGATTAATCAAAGGTGAAAAGTAATCAATATTGCTATTTTGGAGAATATAAATTTCAAATAATTATTTTAAAGATTTTATAAAATTAAAATATTTTACAATATTAAAATATTTTACATTAAATTTTATTTTTGATCAATGAAAGTAAAATTTTTATTGCAATATAAGTGAAAAATTAAAGATAAACATAAATAAAAGTGAATGAAAGCTCAATTTTTTTTATATTAGAATTTTTATCTATTTTATGTTTCAACCTATATCTTTTCTATTTTTTTATTACACATTTATAGAGAAATAAATAATTATTAAATTTTTATACCTTTTTTCGCAATCATTTTTCATTCAAATTATCAATTTTTTTTTAACAAAAAACTTGTAAGCAATAAAAGTTTTAATTTTAATTTTTTATTTTGATAATGATCATCATGTTTATTCTTAAAATCTAGATAAAAAATTTCCCATATCTTGGCATAGGATTTTTCGCTTCATTCAACACAAGTGATTCATAGATTATTGCATAAAGTCATTGTTATTTGAAACTCACTCAAAGATTAAGGTTTAAATTTTCAGAATTAAACCATGTGTAACATGGACCATATAAGAGCACTGTCCTGTAGTAATACAAGCATTAGTGATAGATTATATTTAATTAAATAACTATATATTTGTACTCGATAAAATGACTGCAAATATATTTGAAGATAAATTAATGTAGTTGAGCTTCTTTTTCTTGCTCAGATGAAAATCTCGTCAGATATGTTATGTATTCATCAAAATATTTATATGCTTAGATGAAATATGTGTTTAGTCAAAATAGTTTACATTATATATCTTACTTTTAAATGCATGAACTTTTCACTCAAATCAATAAATGCCCAGAAAATAACTTGTCTACTACATTGCATAATGAAAGTGTAGCTTGAGATATATATATATATATATATAGAGAGAGAGAGAGAGAGAGATATTTATGTATACAAAATTTTGACATACTTCCTTTAACGTCTATATTGTGGAGATCTTCATATTGGAGATTCACATAATGTAATTTTTGAATAAAATAAATGAGAAACTTGTGAGCATATTTCATTTAAGATCAATATGTAAACGAATAATTTAGAACTTTTGTGAAAATTCAAAAAGTATGCTAAAAAATGACGTTTATTCGTAAAAAATATTATTCATACTTTTACTTTTTTCCATTCATCTTTAAGGTCTGATCTGTATATGTATCAGTTGAATTAGGTGTAATATGAATGAAGATTTATGGGGATAAGATATAGAGAATTGAAAACTTTCAAACAACGCTACTTGTTGTTATGTTTTTATATATATATACTATTAACTATCTGTGTGAAAGTTTGACACATAAACAGTATATCATTTCATGAGTAACGGCTACAAACAGAGTGTTAAACAAGATAGGGCATAGAGTGATGCAGAAGTGCATGAGTACACTGGCAGTATTAATGTGCGGTGCTGCTATTTCGGCGAACAATTGTCCGTGCTTTGTAGAAAATATCGATATTGCATGCATATTGTAATATAAATACCGCGTGTGTACTGGGTGTGACTTCTTACTTTACTAAATCCAAATATGTTCTGGTTCTGTTTAGGCGAGCATACGTAAACGCAAGACGATTTTCTGGAGTGTCAATCTTGCAGATAACGAAATAGGACTTGGATACTCCGAGTTGGTCTCAAAGCTGTCAAATGAATACTTGTTAACAAAGCCAGTGAATAATTCGCTGAATATGTAGCACAGAACTAAGCTTTACCAATCCATGTCTTCAAGGAGCACGAGATCCATGCATAGTATCCACCGTTTACACCCGATTAGATAGGAGATGCAATACTCTAATTCATGCCAGAATCTTTGAGTTTCGTAAAGATGCTCAGCTTTGAGTTTCCAGGAGGTGCCTGTCCATCGACGGATTTGTCGTAGAGCTGTGTGCGGTGATCGATGAGGTCTAAATCCGTGAGATGAATCCAGCAATGGCTGTCAATTGCAGCTTCATCTTAGGCCACAAATACCATTCGCCTGTGACGTCTGTGCCGTACACGGAATGCAGATGCAAGAATTAATGGAGGAGAGCACTTTGCAGAACACAGGAGCGAAATGGCCGATGCATTGGAACGAGATGCATTTGAGTGGGCTCTGAAAGAAGTGGACATCGAGGTCACCCCGAACGGTCCAAGTCAGCAGGTTGCAGAGATCATCGGATGCCTGCGAGCGAGCGTGAACTGGCATGAGGGAGTTGGACGAAGAACCTCGTGTACCGAGTACGGCGTAACAGAGTCGGACATGCAGCAGGACTACTGGCGAACTCTGTAGGCGACCAGTGAGATGGTGACTGGCATCACATTCTTGACGTGGTTGGATAATGCGGTACCTGAAAGCCGACACGGTTTCTCCGATCCTCATCGTACTGCGCAGTGTACGTTCCCAATGGAACCATCCCAAGGGAACCTCCGAATCCGCCGTGGCGAACACGTAGACTTTACCACGTCGAGCGATCAATGGCGGATGACGGCTTTACGATGCTAAGCTGCCCACTACGTACCCCAGCAACGACGTAATTGCAGAGTACCTTATTCCCAGTCTGTACCTGACATGGCACATGTTCGCGTCGGCATTAGATCCGCCGTGGCATACACGTAAGCCGAACCTGACCGAATGAAAGTCGTCAGCCCCCGACTTTGACTTGGCCATGAGTGGCGAAGTCGAACCGAGTGTCCAGCGTGGCGTACAGCTCAGATTCTCGAGCCGGATGGGGAAAGCTTGATGTTGATGCCGCGTGGGTCGCTGGATTGTACTTGTCCTCGTGCCCCCTGGATGCTTGTCCGGTTGTATGTCGGTGCCATTCGAACACTTGGGGTCGCATAGATCTTCAGCGAGATGGTGAATTTCGCGGATCGGGTGATGGTTGCAATGTCGTGATCTGTGGAGCTTAGAATGAGCTATGTTTGATTTCCTTCGCCGAGGATTGGGCTTCGCTCTCGTACTTCCGAAGCCTGTAATTTAAGGTCGCATTCATGGGCTCGAAGAAGCCAGTTTCGGTGTTTTTTGACGTTGAGAAATTTTTTGTGTGCATCATGATTATGCTCGTGCCTCATTCCGGTCGAAGGTTGGGCCCTGACCTATTAAAATCGTCAACTTTTGCCCTGGTATCCTCAATCTGTGACGACAATTGAAATAGATGGACTGTCTCAGGTGTGCAGAGCCTCATACTTTTCCAAACCCTAGTCTACGCATCTGAAGATTTGTGTTTCTTCATGTTTGGACAGGTTTGGGATCAGTGGAGATCACGGATTTTACGTGGCCGGCAATCTCTCCGAAGGGAATCATTAGATACAGTGGGGATCTCTCTTCGTTGTATCTCTTGGGTCTAGCAGCCTATCTACCATGAGTATCAAACGAAGTTGTAAAGCTGGCATAGTAGCTATATATTATCTGCTAGTAATTGGATCGTTATGCCATCTAGTTTATGGAATTCGTGATCCCGAAAATTCTTTGAAGAGAAATAATGTCGAGGAGAAGCCAAGGAAGTTGGCAACATTTGCTCTCGGAAGTTTCTGGAGGGGAGAAGCTGTGTTTGGTTGTCTGCCTGGCGTGGTGAGGACTCGGGTGGGGTATTCAGGAGGATTGAAAGTCAATCCTGATTACCACAACATGGGTGATCATGCGGAAGTTGTTGAGGTGTGTGAAATTCCTATTACTCACCAATTTTTCCAGTTTCTGTTGAGTTGTGTGAATTTCTTGTTAAATCATCATGTTCATTAATTGTATGCCTACAATTTTGCCAGTTTCATCTATTTACCAATTTTATTAATTGGTTCGGCGGATGTCTACAATATTCCGGTTTCTAGCCATGGTGCCAAGTTGCAAGTGTATGGGTGGATGTAACATTGCTGGGACCTAGCTTTTTAATCGGCAACCTTTAGGTTTTTGTATATCATTTGATTGAACCTCTAGTTCATATTAGAAATGTCTCAGGTGCCCCAAGGTATTCTCGGAAGAAAGATTCCTATCAATAATCAACGGTTCTGCACTTTCAGATTGAGTACTATCCCTCTGTCATAAGATACGAACAATTACTGGATGTTTTCTGGGCAAGTCACGATCCTACTCAGACCTTTGGACAAGGTCCGGACGTTGGAGAGCAATACAGGTAGGTTTTAGAGATGCAGCTACACAGCATAAGTGCAGGTGTATGGCTTTGCCGCTTTTCCATTCCTGGTTTTCGCATTTTTGGGGAATTTTGTCACAGGATACTATGAAAGAACTATTGGGTGGACTCATGGAAGTACAATTATGTTCAAATTTACGCTTTAAATCTTGTTTCTCCCATAAATTGGAATTTTTATGTGTCGAACAGAGGTGCAGAGCCGGGGTTTTCGTATAGATATCGTCATACAGCTCCAGACAACTGATTTTAGCTTGGAATTCTTGCTAATTTATTTTCTAAATTTGGTGAGCAGGTCAATCATATTCACCCAGGATAGTGACGAGGCCAGGCTTGCTGGTCTAAGCAAGCAGAGAGAACAGTCAAGGTTGGCGGATCAGAGGGTACTCACAAGCATCAATCCTCTCGCTATCTTTTATCCCGCAGAAGCAGAACATCAGGTACTTTGCAGTAACTACCATTTGACCGAATGAGAACGAGTCTTACGCATAGAATAATTGAAGTATTCTATGGTGGACTCCTGGAAGTATTATTAGATACAAAACCTAACTTACTAATATGTGCCGGACATTTTTTTGAGTTTTTCCCGGTTGGTGCAAGTGATCAGTACGTTTTACACTTCGATAATCTAAACCACAATAGGTTTTATTCACTTTCCTGAATTCTTTCAATTCACTACACTCATGTTGAACTCATATTGCTAGAGCGTCGTTTTTACCACTGTGATTGCTATTCGCTTCGTCGGACCTTTCTTATCAGAGGAGCTGACAGCCTTTTTTGCTCATGGCAGTACTATGCCGATGACTTTACCACATTGTTTTCAGACCTAACATGCAAATCTGTTTGGATCGTATGAACTGATGCTGTACGAACAAGCACATGCCAGTTTTTACAGCTGAACTTGTTGATGTCCAGAAATTCGTCCTGAGAAGGAAACCGTTGCTGCTTCAGTTACTGGGTGAACTATCTGATTTTGAGCTCATAAATTCAACAACTGCGAGCAAGATGAACAGCTACGTTGCTGGCATGTGTCCTCAACCGGTCGCAAAGCTGATTGAAGCCAAAGTTCGCCCTCTGCTGAATAGTAGACCGAAGTTGCTTCGACTTTTTGGGGAATAACAAGGTGTTTCTAGAAGGTGCTCTCCTGGTTATATTGATTCTATTCAAGTTAGAATGACCAAATGTATAGTCTATGAAAATTGAACCGGTGAATTATCTAAAAGTCTGCAATTTTGTGCGGCCAGTCAGCAGGCAAGGCTTCAAACGTACGATCTGCTATAATTTTCTACATGTGTTTCAATTATGTAGAGTCCATTGTATACAATGTTTATAAACGTTTCTTGTACAAAAGGTGATGCAAGGACAGCTGCAGTCCGTCAACTTACGTCAGATGAACCTACGGTTCACCAAGTGAATCGCCAGTATTATGGAACTTGTCTCTAAATCTGATGTAATCAGTTGGTGACGGTGCAGCATAGTGTGGCCATGGCCTCTGGCTAAAGTTCTCTCTTTTAGGCTCTATTTTATGAGTAAAGGAGATTGGTTTGTGCGAGATTGCCGCAGTTTAATGCAACTGTAACTTAATCTTTGTCAAATATCAGTCACCAGGACAGCTTTGACAGAAAAGCGCAAATTTCCAAATCTCTTTAATGCAATTCACACCGCCATTTCGACCATAACGGGAGCCTCCATGCATGGTTTTTGAAGATTGTTTGTGAACGAAGGAAACTGACCGTTCCATCGTAAAGCTGGAAGGGCCGTTAAGCAGTTGTAAGAAAGACTATCGCAATGAGGTATCAATGTACGGAGTCTAATTATTGATTGCATGTGAGCTCAGCAGCTAGTCACTCTCATGTATGACACCATGTACGGTCAGAACAAATAGTCGTGATATAGTGTTTAGCATCAATGTGCACGCCTCCTCATCCTTCCTTTGGATCCTACAGAGGCTTCAGTTTGCATGTCGTGGATATAACGGGATGACAGTATGCACCAGTTTCGCCTGAAGTCCAAGTCCTGCCATTGTACACTACAACTAGCTAGTTGTCAAGCAATTTTGTCAGTTTTGTTACATAATTTGAAGTTCCCGAGTCTTTTAAGCGAGATGAACTTGAACCTGTGATGGCATCATTTCTACTCGCTTAAATACGCTGATGAATACCTCAGGTTTGTTCCAGTTATAGCTAGAAAGTTATCCAAGGACTTCCAAATCACCAATCAATTCCTCTGAAAAGGTACATGTTTTCTACGCAAACAAAACGTAGATATATCCTGTATATGACGGTCAATTCGTATTTTTGTGATAAGACGGCACTTTCTGCTTGAATTACATACACCCTGCTTGAACATACCTACGTTTGCCTTGCAGGTTCATTGTGAGGAACGTTTCTGTATTCGCTGCAGTTGCCGACTATCCAATAACTGAACGACATTTATCAGTCTGCTGACATGTGAATGTGAAACCTTGGAACGAATAGCGAAATCGGGTACCGAAGTTTGTTGGCTACGCTCTCGTTTAAATCAATGAACATATACGTCATCGGGCCCACATCGCTGTAAACTTGGTAAGAAAAGTTGATTTCCGTGCTGTAAATCTTCAAATCTTTTCACTGAATCTAGTCTTTCATAGTATTGTAGGCCATTGTTCGTGTCTTTCTTTTATGAAGTCTATGTGGCAGTTTCATAACGTTATGGCCTCATAGGCGTCCCCACCCCTTGCCGTTTATGAAAAATCCCTCGTTTCAATATCCTCCTGCTGCCGATGCAATGCTGTTGTGTAAGAATTGAACTTCATTTTTTCAGGATACAATTGTGAAAATTAAGGTTGAAAACTTATGATATCTAGATGTTTTATGAGTCAATATGTATAGAATCTACATATTGAGATATCTTTTGTATCCAATATTGAGGTTCTTTTGTGTTCTTTTGATTGGGTGTATGTTGGTTGACCTGCACACCCCACCATAAGTCTTGAAATTGGAATTTGTACTAGTATACATTTATCGCCCGCTGTCCAGATCTTAGTTTTTGTGTCTCATATTTCGCACCAACATATACAGCTACTAGAGCTTCTTCGGAACCGAAGAAGGAGAAACATAAAGCCGCAGTATATTACCATAAGGCAGTATTGAGTGTCAACTTAAGTGTGCAGAGTGTCAACCATAATATTACGAGAGGTCTCAGTTAAAAGCTTCTTGCCCCGCTATAAGAGTCTACCCTGGAAGAACATATCACAATACTGTACCCTGCATTCCTAGACACGATAGTATTGTCACTGACTTGCATCGATGAAATAACTATGACGATCATCTTCTAAGATAATCGTCATCGTTATTTGGCCGTGCTAGTTCACCGGGTCACTGAAAGCCCTCTGAGGGCAGAAAGAATTGCTGCTGTCAGAGGACTAAGGAATTAAGGACATTGCTATGAGTGTGACAACGACTGTGTGAACATCATAGCCAACTGCAAAGCACGTGAGCAAATTCATAGCACAAAGCTAAAACGGTGTACATAACAGAGCTGACAAAAAACGCCTATGTACTTAGCGCAGAGCAAGTAGAGTCACAAAGAATGCAATGTATCGAGCGTGTGAGCCCTGGAACCAGAACGAAAAATCGCCTCACCGAGACGAATGTGATCTCAAATGTCAGTATCTTATGTGAGGTGGAGGTTCAGCAATACAGAAGCAGATGTTTAACTCGGCTAAATCATAAGGATTGCGTCTCAAAGGGTCGACCACGAGAGCATGCTGCAAAAGCTGTTCATCGTTTAATACTCAATGCTCACCTCACAATATATATGATATGGATATAAAAGGGATTTCTTCAATCCTGACATATCGGTTTATAACGATGTGCAAATGCTTGGAACTCTTCAGAAGATTCACAGTTTCACGAAAGCTTCGCTTTTCATCTGTGTGGACACAAACTGAGAGTCTGCTAAGGAAAAGAGATCTGGTAGAGACTCGACATGAGTCAACACAATTTCCCGGCACTGCCTACAGTTGACCACCAGGTCTGATCTAAACTAGCTCATGTCACATGCCTCAAGGATCTACTTGAAGTAACTACGACTGGAGCATTTTCTGGTCTAGCAAAAAAAATCCATCCTCTTTCCACTCGCATTTCAAACCTGGATCTCCGAGGTAAAGTCATCTAATATCCCCTTCCCCTGCCTACGGATTCAAATGTACAACTACCTGCTTTAATTAACTAACGAGCCCAGGTTGCTCATGCTGGACGGAACCCTCTGCATCTCAGCAGTAAAATCGCAGAACACAAAGCCCTTCTATTTAACAACCGTGATGAATGTGTGCCGCTGGATCTGTTGTTCAACGTTTAACGTGACATCTGTCGATCAGCTTTGAGGGCGAATATGAAAGCGAGGAGGAAGTTCCTGTTTCAATCCAGCAGAACAAAGCAGTTAGATTTATGGGCTTATAATTTCTGAGGGACCATCACCAATTGGCTGCAAAATCTGGAAGAGCAATGAATTATCGCTACCAGTTGTCGTACCTCGATCAAAGGTTCCCGAGGGTTGGAATAGTTGAATGAGTCACTGTATCTCCGTTGGAATATCAATTTGGAGAGAAGAGATAAGCGCCTCCTTTCTTCATGGGCCCATGTCACCAGTAAAAGGCCGATCATAATCAACACCGTTCCTATCACACTGCACAAAACGAAGAACTGTTGCGTTAGCACTTGATCATGGACCTTTCCTGCCACTGAGATAGTCACATTCAATGCAGGGTTAGCAAATCACAATTCCCTCTTTTACCACATCCGAAGGAACGTACTTCTATGGCAGACATAAATGATAATATTAAAGTACAATCTGACAAGATATCTAGTGTTAGGAAGTCAAACACAGGATTGTTTGTTCTACATGGAGAAAAAGTTCCTGAAGACCTGGTTGAGCAACCTCTTCAAAGCTGGGGTTCACAAACCTGGAATCTCCATGTCGCCGCGCAAAGTAGCTTAGGATCCATTAATGCACGATGTTCTTGGCAGATTGTAAATTTTCTCAAAACTCCAAGAACATCGAAAGTAGTGATGCATGAATTTTTTAAGACGGCTTTCTGATTCCAAAACGAGTGCAATTTGCTCCTATACTTTTATGCGGAGCGATGTGTGAGCAATTAGGATCTTCGAAAGGGTGAAATCACAAAGAAAAAAGTCTACCTTCCCAAATACACCGTGGTTCCAACAATGGCCAAGGCTAGCAGAGCAGTAGCCACAGGCTGAACAGGAAGATAACATGCTACGAACAGTGGCCCGACTCGATGCAGGGACCACGAAATCAAGGAGTAGTTGAGAGCTGAACCAAGAACACCCTGACAACATTTACACACAGAAATAATCATGTCAGCGCGGAGACAAAAGGCTATAAATTCATGACGAACTGTAGTCAAAAATAACTTTGATAGAGGTGGATGACAGGTAGGTGATAGATAGCACATAAACCTGAGCTCAAGGAACTTACGGTATACACAATAGCGGCAAGATTCGTGTTCCATGACAAATGCCAGGCATTCGGATCCTTAACGGCGTAGTAACCTGTGATTCCCATAAGTATGGTCCCAACACCGTATGAGTAGGCAACAACAGACACAGGAGCTGGATACCTCCTTAACAAAGGTCCCTGAAATGTGAATGCAGCACGGCTTATCAGCATCAACATATAACAACGTTTTTCTTGATGCTAAGAGTCGTTTTGAATGTGAAGCTCGTGGTTGACTAGATTCTGAAACATATTGTCATTGTCAATATCTGCTTCTTTATAAAATGCTCAATTCATTGATTGTATATTCTAAAATGCACAACACATGAACATTACAGTTCGGTTTCCTCGGGCTAAAGACATCAGATCTAGTAAGATTACAAGAGACGTGAAGAAAATTTACACCAGTTATATTGAATTCAAGTTACAGGATGAAGTTAGTGATGTGTTCCACCTGTAGATTGAGGTATAAAGCCAAGCAAAGAGTGTTCCCGATGAGACATAGTGCACCAAATTGCCATCCAGTGAGTCCCCAGTCGTGAAATGTAGTTTTGACAGTGTTGAGAGTGCCGTTGGCCAACAAATTTGGGAAATTATCGTTCACCGGAACCCAAGGTGTGTTGTCTCCCACAAACTTCCATGGTAGAACAGGCGGTCCTTTGTAGAAAGTCATTAAAACTCCACCGACGCACGATATTGCAATGCCAAGTGCCTTCACTTGCCCATCTCTTCTGTGCCAGTAAATCTCTTCAAACCTGTCATTCCACAAATTACCCACCAGATTGGATTCAATATTTCAATAACTCGTCGGGTGCACATGAAACGGGATCATTCGACTGTCAGATGGAAAGCAATGACCTTAACGATTCGACCATGCTCATGTACACATGATTTTTTTGGGTTTGGATAGAGTCAAGTAAAAAATGTTACTATCTACGTAAAAATTGATTTCCACGATCATCACAGATTTATAAAGCTTGGTTACCAGAGAGAACATTGGAATTAAACATGTCATATCAGTTTGTCATTAATTTTGAATGCTGTTCAATTTTACTGGTCCTGCTACAAAAGTTTCATCATCTTACCCGAAGGCAATAGCAATCAGGGCTACTAATGCCGGTGCGACGGGCTGGAGTGCAGAGGTGAACTCAGCGGATGTGAACTCAATTCCGACGAACAGAAGATAATTGCTTCCATACACCCTGCATGAATAAGTATCAGAAAATGTTGTCATCATTCACAGACAACCTGATAACTCGATTTGTAAAAAAAACCCTGTAACATGATTTCAAGTTATCTGTAAGAAAAGAAATTATGAAATATTGTTGATTTTGATTCAAAGACTATATCACACATGGGTAGAGTTTGTAATTCATACCCGAATAACCCAAGAAGTAGAAGGCGAACGATAACATTGTAGGAAAATTTCAATCGGTTCCCTCTGCATAAAAGAGCACTTTCATCATTATCACCAAGAAACAACGAATGAATGCAGAGTTGAGACATGGATCCATGCTATAGTGAAACTGGATGGTGGGGGTTCTGTGAAATAGTGTTGAATGACAAGATATTATCATCCCATGGCAGCTGGGTCTAAGAGGTCCGATTTCTGTTCAGTATCGTTCTCACGTGACGGATTACAAATTTGCTCTGAGAAAAGCACCCACCTGTCAATAAAATACGCAGCAGGGATAAGGATAATCATGGCCACAACATCTCGGTAAAAACTAAGGATGATCCGATTCATACCACCCACCAGGATCACACGACAGACTACATAGTATAATGCAGCCAGCACTTGACATACGATCATAGCAAGATGCGCAGGAATCTGGCTCTTGTAAGCCTCGATAGAGTCCATCCGCTCTTGTGTCATCGCAGCTGATGCTAATCCCTGATCCTCCTACGCTATCAACCTCTATCAAATCGGTTTTGATTTCAGAGAAGGGCTGAAGCTGAATTTTACAACGATCTATTCTTTTCTACTGAATTTTATAGTGCAAAGACACGACGAAAGTCTTATTGTTCCTTCTCCTGCTGCGGCTGCTGCTGCTCCTTCAATCGGCACTGCTGTTGTCCTCCTGCTAACTCAGGAAATGGCAATTTCGTTGCTGCTGCTGCTCTCTCTTGCAAGCTGTTGGTGCTAGTACGACGATAGCGTTCTCAGAAGACTCCATCATGCTCATGAGCCAAGTTCCAAAGTTTTCATATGTCTTCCGCCCATAATTGCACATTTCCTTGATGCCCCTAGTTTTAGACTGGTGATTGCAAGGACAAGCCTGTTTCTCCACCACGTGCTTTACACTCATAGATCCATTCAGCCTGAAAACCTTCAGCTGCGGGTGCCCGTAAACCTAAGTTAGATATGTTACAAGTTCACAGTAGAGCACAATCTTCTTCGTCTGCATCAATCTCCTGAGGTCTATTCTGGGTCTTCGGCCAGAGTCCTTGTTCTGAGGTCCCTCAGTTCAGCAGCAGTCTTGGAGCTTATCCTCATGTAACAAGTCACCCGTCCTAGTCCTCGAGTTTGATAGCTGAGTTCTTGTCCTCTGATACTAGTTTCATCCTCTCCGAGGATTTATCCTCTTCCTGACTGTTAGTTGTTATGTCTTCGTCACCTGCATCACTTTCTTACGTCATAGTCTGGAAGTTCTTCCATTCTTGTCCACATTTGGCAGCTCGGAAGTTTCACACTATTTTCGTGCGGAATCTATGAGTCTCCCTCCACCTCCACCTGTGTCCACAATGAAGTACGGTATCTTATAATATAACCAAATTGAAAATTTTATTTTTTCTTTCTGGGAGCACTAATTTCGTCATATTCGAGGGCAGCTGACCTCTAATTCAAGGTGTTTTAGTAACAATGGCTAAAAAGCCTTCAACACTTCGAAGCAATATCATTTGGAAACATCCAGTATGAGCTTTCCCAATGTTCTACATACATTACACTGAGTGTACTATATATACAAAGAACAGGCATGACGTATTACTTTAAGCAACCGTATTATTTTGTTTAAGTTCACCACTTTCTCACCTTCAGCTGGGGACAAAAGATCTGTTCAGAGGTATGTGAATATCTATATATGAGATGGTGCAAGATTAGAGAGAGTCAAAAAAGACGCTAAGAGAATGTTGTGGAGTTCAAGCTAATAGTGGACACTCGAAAAGATCTGGAGATTTTTAACTGGAGAGCCTACCACTACACCACTCATCAATGAAGATTTGAAGTTAGGCTACGTGTTCTCACATGTCCGTCCTGTTCATGTGACTTCAATATAATTAAATCCATGAGATATTCCAAAATGAGTCCTACAAATCCACGTATGCTTAGAAATATTAAGTAAACACCGTGTGACTTGCAATGCAACTTTCAAAGGACCGACACTGACGAAGACCAGGAAGACGGTCATCTTAAGTGATTGAGCCTCTGCCGCTGTTTATTTCTGACTTTTACATCCTAAAAATCATGCAGAGTAGTCTTGTGTGACGGTGACTCCTCCAAGAAGCTGTGAAAAGAGCAATACGAATGTGAAGGATCAGCTCAGCACAATCTTGTGCTGAAGGGTGAGCATGCTACCGAATACCTTTTTCCAGCCAATGATCTAAATATCATTCCAATAACTAGGGAATGAAAGTCGCCCTGCAAACCAATAGAGGGACTTCCAACTTCAGAGCGTATATCACAGATTGTCCGCCACGAGCACACCGCCATATGTCTATTCCAAGACCACTGTCAGATATAGAACCGCACCATATCTATCACCATTGGAGGCTGTCAGAAGAGTGGTCTGAAGTCAGAGCTTTGACCTTTCTCCTGAGAGTTAGAACACGTTACCACCAGACTATGGACTATTGGCACCTTGCACAGATCTCGGGTGAGAAATCGACCAACATTCGACCAACGCTTGGTATATTCATTTCCTTCCCCACAGATGTGGGTTGAAGGTCGCTGAAATGTTCGTAAGGTGCAAGGAAGTTCCGTCCAAACTTGGGTTTTCACTCAATCCTGATTTGAAGGGGCAACCTTTTGCTTTTCGGTCGGATCAAAAGTGAGTGCTGGAAGAATTTCCCTCCAGCTGTTGCCACAATTATTTAATTTAATGTTCGGATGACCACATAAAGCCATTGCACCCTATTTGGCCATAATACATAAGAATAAGAGGATAATCAACACTATAACACAAGCATCATCAGTGCTGTAGGGGATACTGTACATAATCGCCACCCCAACCGCAACCGTCACCCCAATCGTGTAAGACCAGAAACAAATAACGCCTCTGGAAAGTCACCCTTTCCATTCTTGTGAAACTTAATTTATGCAAACAAATTTCTTCTCGGGTACGGGACGGATGTGTAAAGGTTAGGAGAGGAGGGTAGAAAGTTGCCCACCAAAATAAAAGTTCACGGTCCTCTTCTCAGTCTCAGCAGCAGCAGCAGCAGCTACGAGGCATCGTTTTGAGGCCTCGTAGGGAGGGAGCGAGGGAGCGAGTCCGCTGGGTCTGCTTTTATGGCCCGTACTTGGAAGATACGTCAAGTGTAGGAGTGGACTGCTGCAGCTTGTCCCGTACGTCTGGAAAAACTCCTCGCGGACATTTCATACCGAGACACGGTCAAACAGAAACTCGAGAATCTCCTCACACCGAAAGGCTGAAGAGGGCGGCGTATTCCCTACACGACTTGGTGCCCATCGCTGGGACGCTCGAAGCACACCTGCGTGCCATGCAGGCCAGGACACCCTGTCGAGCATTTGCATTGAATGTACGGATCCGGCATTCGCCTTGAATTTGCATTTCTCGAGGACGAAGAGGAAAGACGAAGAGGAGGGCGGCCAGCAAGCAAGCGACCGAGCGAGAACACTTTTTTCTATTGTTGTGTGAACCTGTTCGAATGATCCTCAGAAAAACTCATGAGATAACTGACTGGCCTCATGGTATTCATGGAGCTCTTCGGCTGCCGTCAACTATTTTCTGGCACTCTCGTGAAAGCCCATAGAATTGTCCTCATTTGGCCCGGCGAAACCGCTCTTTAGCCTGGAGGTCACGGCGCTTGGTGATTGCTCTCAACCTGATCTCTCATGGCGTCAGAAGGCAACTCACCTTGGCCGATCCAACAGACATCCCAATTGCCATCCCGCCTCATGCCCTCGGATGACTGAGCTCGTCCCCATCTACATCCCTGGAGATATAGTGAGAAACGGCATGCCCATGGCCTAGAGCCCCAGACCTTGGCTTACATTGCATTTATAGCTTTTGGGCCTCGGGAAGTTTTGGAGTTGGTGTGTGCAAGCTGGCTTCACGTCCTGCTGGGCGGCACCGCCACAAGCGTCCACCTCGTACGACATGAAAATTACCAGTATCTGTGAAGACTGTTGACATGAACTTCAGAAGAGTCTGGGCTACATGAGAAGCACGTGCTTGTGCAGTGCTTCACGGAGGGGAATTCCTTTTGTGGACAGTGCACTCTCCAAGACCCCCGGCTCCGTTTACTCACAATGTGTCGGAATTGCTGGATCGGACCCCCGCTTAGTTTACTAACGATGCGGGGCAACTTTTCGTGTCCCTCTTTGGGTAAACCTTCTGATGTGTATTTTAAATGCTGCTGGACATTCTTCCCTTTCTGATACTATCGTACTGGGGCTGGCCACTAGATACGGTTCTTCATCTTTGATGGGATCCTCCCATCCTGTTTTGTTATCCCCTCGCCACATTCCTGTAATAAAGTGCTAAGTGAAGCTGTTACACTCCGTGGTAATCGACACCGCTTGCATTTCCGTCTACAAAAGGGTCTCCGTCGTACTAACTGGCTTATTGACTTCGAGTTTGTGTCCGTTGGCCAGGTTGGGGTGTCCACTTTACCAAAGGGTCGACGTGCAAATGCAAAGTGACGCAAGCTTTTCCATTTGCTCGTCGTGTTCAACTTTAACACATAACACTTCTTTTGCAAAGATCATCCTGTTGATTTGTAAAATATCGCTCATCGACAGTCAGCTTTACTGTGAATATGTGGGATCGCGCCAAAGGCTGGATGTTACACTATCAAAAGTAAGTATAAGGTAGGAGATGGAAGCACTCGACTCTGACGTCAGCAACCACACGAACAAAATTAGATGACCTACGTATGCTCAACTGTGAGACTATTAAGGTTTTCACCCAAACCAACCCGTTCCACTCCACGCATCACAACCAGGCCACTCTCCCGTGTCAGCGTCGTCGAGATACTCAGCCCTGTGAACGAAAACTTTTGGTTCCGTCACCTGTACGACAATTTTGGGGTGTGTCAAACGTGCTCTGTCTGGGACGGTTAGACACATCACGCACCAGAGAACAGATGATTGTTGCTATCGTACCACACTTAGAGATGCGCATTGTGATGTGAATTGCCCCAAAAAGCAAAACACGAACTTGTACGGTCCGACACAAGGCCGTTCTAAAGAAGAAATGGTAAGAACACAATGCTTACAAGGTTCACCGACTCTGTAGCCTTGACTCACCACAAGAAGTTGGGGGAAGGTCTTTTGAAGCCTCAGTCTGGAGAACCCCGGTATTGCCTGAAGACAAAGAAATCCTGGAATGCTGTCTTTCTCACTGCAGGAGACGACGAACATTGACGTTCATTGCACTATTTTTTTAATTTTGCAAAACTATTGTACAATGGAGTGCCTGATCTCGGGGATGGTGGAGTTAATCCAGGAATATACAGAATGTTGAGACAAAGAACAAGAATTCCGATATGCCTATCTCAGAATGATAGCTTCGAAGTTGAGAAGATTGAAAAGGTGAAGAAAGTAAGAACGAAATACTCACTTCAACAGATGTGTGAAGTTCCTTAAGGAATAATCCTCCAAAAAAAGCCCCTCCTCCTTAGAATACCTGGTAAACTTCCAAGAGGGTAAGGTAAATTCATTGGTCTCCTACCCGAAAACAGATGAATCAAAAACGATATCTTGAGGAGAGAACTCGCAAATTGCTCATCCAATCTTTCGGAACAGATTTCGAAGGTTAGGCAAAGCGAACCAACCTCCAGTGAGGGACTTCACAAAAACGAGAAACGCCCGTCATTGCTGTAAGGACATCAATGTGCACGAATCCTTCGGAGACTTCACTTGCAACCGCTTCTGACATCGTTGTCACCATCGTCAGAACACATGCAGGTATACATCGCAGTTATAGCAAGTTCCGATTCCTCTTGAGGAAACTTCAAGAACCGGTCACAGGAACGTATCTTCAAGACTTTTAAAGCGCGTATTCGACAAGGACATATTTTCTACAAAAAATCTGTACCTTTGGAATGGAGGACACGGAGAGCATGGCCTCCAGGATAATTGGCATGCGAGGCAGCAGCTATCACCATTGAGACGCCGAAACTGAAAATCAGCATACGTAGTTAGTTCTGAAAACATATTCCAAACATATTGCTAAACCTTCGAAAGTAAGCTACGAAGGATTTCACTAGGGGTATGACGTGTCATACCTCGCCATTAACATAACAAGTGCAAGAGAATAAAAAGTTCTCCAGATAAAACCTGGCTTCCAGCGATTGTTGTATCTGCAGGAAATTATGCGAAAGATACAAAAGATTAAACACACGGCAAGTCGCTACTCATAGGTGGTGGTGGAAGACCGTATTACTTGAATTAGTTCACCAACTATTTCAACCTTCCAAACGATAGCTTGCACCTAGTTGATGAAACAATAAAGATTTGTAGAACAGCTCACCTGGAAACAGTAGACTAACAAGCACGATTCTAGATTCACAAATTAGAACTAATCGATATAGGCAGTCCACTAACTTACATTCGTGCCATCGCAGTTGCACCGGCAATATTAAGAACGGGCACGCCCACTAGTATGAATCGAAGTTCCTGTAATTAACCACAGAGTCTTAAGACTGATGCTAATTTAAACCCTTAAATGAATCTTCTCATTTTCGAAGCGCCTATCTTGAATGCAGTTGTATTTATTCCCTATAGAAGTACGTAGTGATTGCCAAGTCCGGAGAAAACTTCAGATACTACGCCATATACTGGCTGTCAATCTTTCTTGCTGACAATGTAATATCGCACATAACAAGCGATACCTCCCTTGAAACAAGAGCAAGATGGCAAGAATTGCAACAAAGAGAAACATGAAAAAACATGTCTAGTGATTAGATGAAGGTGATAAACAATAGCAGATCAACAAACTTCCATTCCAACCTTCCAAGGATCAGATCAGTTCTTAGGAGACATGTAAGTTGTACCTTGTGCGGCAACTTAGAGTACAAGGTGATGAAGATCAAAACAGGGAGCACAAACTTTGCTGTCCTCCGTTCCAAAAGCACACCTAACTACAACCAGGAGAAACCAAGGATTAACTTCCTTAATTATAATTATTGAATCAATGAATGAAAAGCATTACAGTCCATGAATGAAGACAGATAAATGGGACCAGGTTCAAACAGAAACAAGAAAATTGTAGACGTTATTGAACGAACATCAGGCTTCGGTGTGGTATCCGCATTGCAGTGATGAATACTTAGTGCGGCCTCTACAATTACCATGAGTCTTTTCGAATAAAACTCACCAAAGCCAGAGGTAGTCCCGCCATCATCGCTCTTGGAAGTGCTGAAGTGAAGTACCAATGGAACGGTGACGTCTTTTGATAAGCTAAAGAGGTCTTCACGTTTAATTCGAAAGGACTGGCCATGCTACGGAAGCGCTGATAGGAGGTAAAAACGGACAGATAAAGACAGTTCCATAAACTATTCTGGGGTTAAAGGACTAGTACTATATCAAGTTGGATACACCCCATTCCGAGCTCCGATTTAGCACCGAGTTAAACCACAAAACTTCAAATTCCGGCCAAACCCGACGCTGCCAGAAGATCGAATCTACTGCGACGGACAAACCTGCAAAATTGGGTAGTCTCAAAATTAGTTCCTTACTGATCTTAAGAAAGTGAACGGTGCTCTCATCGTTACCGCTCTTTCCCATGAAAACATATCAGTTGCCTAGAAGCTCTACGAGCTGTCAGTGACATCTATTATGCCTTTTCTGAAAAAAAAATTAGACTGGTAACACAGAAAGGCTGCCATCATCGATTATGATCAGAAGGAGAGTAGTACTTACCAATGCTTAAGATGGCAGTTATTGCACAGCATTTCACTGCATTCCAAAAGGATATTGACCTCGCCTGCCCACATATCCAGCATCATGAAGTTTCAATTTTAAAACATACGCTTATGCAGGAACTCAAACTCTCATAAAGGTCGACAAGTCCAGAGATAGAGGAACATAGGTATGACTATTACCAAAAGAAGTGTTGCTCCTACGGGAGCCAAGAGTAATATCATGTCACATCGGAAAACCGCCGCAGCCACCACCTAAAGAGAACCATAGATCACACAATATTATAATAAAAGAGTCCGAAGATGTCTTATACATACATTACAATGATACGATTGGAAAATACCTTCATTCGAGATGAAACAACCCCACATAGGAGAATGTCATAATATGAGTCACTCGAAATCAGAAAGAATTGTTAAGTGTTGTATGTAGGTTACGAATACATACCAGGTACCTCAAAGTTGATTCCGGGGATCCGCTCAACCAGCTGGTAAATGCCAGATTCACTGACAGCACAAGGGCACCAAATACGCCTCAAATTCATTTCGAAGTCTGAATCTTCAAGAAATGTTCTGCAAAGTTGATAAAGACCTATAAGTCGGCACTGACTATAGAAGTTGAAACCTAAGACTTTAATCCTTTTTGCATAATGACGTGAGCAGAAGGCTTCTTTGTATTATGGACATATCATATCAAGGTGGGTGTCTGCTTGATCTACCAAACCTTCCAACACCAAAACCATTTCCAGTTCAGAGAACATACCCAAAGCCAATGCGAAAGTATTCGGCAGGGGGCGAGAGCAGTAAAACAAGAGATGAAACTGAACAATAGTCAATATTGCAAAAAATTTGGAGGTTGGCACTCCAAACTGTCTCGAGACCTGACAAGGACGAAAATGCAGCTGTCATACTCGTAATGCACCGACTAAACATAAAGTAATCAACGCACAGTAGGAAGATAAAAAAACACGACACCCCCAAATGTCAAGAAGGGCGCTTACTTCTTGTCTTAGATGATGAAGAGTTCCAAGAACCAATGCTCCCAAAACAAATCTTACTGCGGAGAGATTTCAACTGATCCATCAATATATACAAGTTTGAGAGGTACTCGAGAAATACATTTCCAAACAATACGGGAAAGAAATTCTGGAAAAACATTGGGATGAGAAAAATGTTATTTTGCTCTCCGAACAACCATTGCCATGTGAAGAGAGCGATGTTAAGAAAATACCTGTGAAAAGAGCATAAAGCTTGGGAATGCCCAACAGTTTCATCGCGAACACGAAAGGATAAGCCACCATAGAAACGAAAATGGCACCTGGTGCCACAATGAACAATTATGATTAGATTCAAACGGTTCGTGCTGCAGGTGAGACTAAGATGTTTAGTTTTGACAAAGAAGTCTCACATAACACATGAAGTGAAGCACTTGCAAAAAGACTCGGTTGCAGTCTTACCTAGAAAAGTCCGTGGTACTACGCCTGGAAACTCAAGATGATCATACTGAACACGTTGAGGAAAAGATCGTTAGAAGGATCGATTAGCATTCTTCCGTTTCTACTCGAGGTAGATATATTTCCATTTTAAACAAAAAAATAATGTATCCTTGTTGTCTAGACTAAATAAAGGCTTAAAAAACAGAAGCTCAACTCTATTCGATCCTAGATAATGCGCATGAGCTACTCAGAGTCTACAATATTCTGACTGTTCGAAGGATGGAGGCTATATGGATGAGATGGCCTTGAAAACTCAGTAATACACAATACATCAGAACAAATTTCATACACCTGCTTTAGAGGATGCACCGAAAGTCCTCAAACATGAGATCAGCGGACTATTACACCTGAAATCATAAGCGGAAGCACTGTCATGAAAATATTTGGAGCTTCGAGATCCTTGGGAGCGGATGTCATACCTGATGCAGATTTTCCTGGTGAAACAAGATATCATGCATGGCCTGCAAGGAAGATAAATACAATTGAAAGTAAGCCTTCTTCTAAGTCAGTCCTCGTGGGCTACTATGTGCAATGTACGCGCATTTGGTAGCAAGGTAAACAATGAGAGAGATTTGTCTGATATCAGGCAATTTGAAAGCAACACGCATGAACATGATGACACTTGATATAGTTCACCTGGATGTTGAAGCTTTCCTCGACTTTAGTGTAGGGAGTCAGAACGATGTGAAGTCCTGCTATAGCGGCCATAAGCACATCCCATCCTGAGATTGACAAGCGCAGATTTGAACTTCAAAACAATGACCTCCGAACCTCGGCATCGGATCAACAAGAGAATGTAGAAACAAGAGCTACTACTGCCCAGATCTTCAAAGCAGACTTCCTGCCACTTCTGCCTGTGCTGATTGTGCGTGTGGTGAAAGATTGAGCATTTCAATAGCTCTCTAATGCATGACATTGTCCAAGACCACATTCAGCGACCGACAAAAAAACAAACAATTCATGAAATCCATGAAATCCACGAGAATAGAAAAGAAGCGACAGCGTTTTGAATCTTGACAATCTGAGAGTAACAAGAAAGCCAAAGTAGAACTTTAAGGTTGCGGAGCCACAAGCAAGAAAAGCCATGCACAAAAACGTACGATCAACAAGCTGCCCAGCGGTGGGAGCTGAAGCACGCATCCTGTCCGTGACGACCAAGCGCTCAGAATCCACCCACTTTCCTCAATTTCTTCGAAGGCGCCACTTCTGACACAGCGATTCGAGGGGCCAAAATTTGGCTCTTCAAGCCTGCAGAGCAAGCCGCATAACCATCCAAAGTGATCATGCACTTTGGACAAGCACTCCAGTTCTGTTTGCAAGAGATGGCTACGTTCATGGAGGCGTAAATTTATGTAAAAAGGATCCAGATCCGAGGAAAAAGTTTTACCACGACTATAAGAGCTCCTCAGCGACCAGCACATCAGACATCCGATCAAGCAGGGGGAGAGTTCCCCGAAGTTCCTACAATTCGGCAACTGTCCATACGCAGCACATTGTCGTCAGCAGAGAGAGAAGTCTGCACTGCGTCAAACACAAACTCTTCAAAACAGTTCCTAATTCAGGAAATTATGCAACTTTGGCCTTGCAGGCGCGCGACAGGCTTATCGATATTCGATAGAAAATTACTCGAGACGAGGCGCTCAGAACCGTAAAAAAAGTCGAATCTCTGTGAACGCAATTCTTTTCCTGATCCGTTCAGTCACCAGGACTTCGATCCGCAAGTGCAAGATGACAACTGCAAGAAGCCGCCACTTGACTTCCAGCAACCGGCAGCGAATCAGAGCACTGGACTAGTTTGCGGTCCACAGATTCGTGTGTTTGGTTTTATCGAATTTCGAAGCTTAGGGTTTTGCGTTTCCACTTAACTCGAATCATCGATCTTGGCTTTCGTGTGAACGACTGTTTGTCAGTTTTTAGACAGCCTTCTCGGTGGCAGTGCGATATCTGGAGAAAACTCTCGTCTCCGAAGAGCTTTAGAATGGTCCGAGGGCTGCCATCTGGTCCTTTGTGTCTTTACTATAGCCTCTATTCTCTTTCTTCGTGATGTAGCAGGATTGACTCGAGGATTGATTCTGACATCTGCACCGCAGTCCTGCTCGAGAAAAACATTTGCTCTCTGAGACTCCGTTCGAGAGTTTGTGTGGTCTGAAGATCGTACGAGTATCCCTTTATGGACGTCTGGCTTTGAGGGAAGACCTCCATGGCTTCTACGAGGCATTGGATTCTTCCCTTTCTAGTTGACCTGGAGCACAAGCCGTCATCTAAATTACACATTTTGCTTGCGTTGTCAATGGGTTGATGCTCTCTCCCAGTCTGAGGTTATGTGATCGGTGATTGGGCTTTCCATTATTCAAAAGAGACTCACCTGCTGATGCGAGAGGAACTTTCACAGTTGCCTTTTCTGTATCACTCATGGTTCTTTGGTCTCGAATCTACCTGGACAATTCGAGCACCGGGACAACTCAACAGACTACTCACTTACTGGCGTTTAGAGCGAAGGAAAGTAAACTCACATGATTGTGAGTACACGTTAAAATGACAAAACTTCTTCGTGACCAGGATAATGTAGTCATTTCTTCCGGCAGCGATGGACTGGAGGAACTGACAACGAAAGCAGTGACCTTGACCTGCAGCCGACACGTGCAGTGTATAGAACGAGCTTCAAGTGCACCCAACAACAACAGGAATGTAGCTGAAGGTGGCAAAGACAGAGCGAGAGAATTGATGTGGAGGATATAATTTCGGAGTGGATACTTACAGGTTTTTTACACCCTTACTTAGTAACGAAGCCTGAAACGTTAACTTTCAAACCCACCATTACGACGAAGAGTGATCCGCATTGGGTGCCCATATAATTACGTTTTTGAGAAGATTGCTTTCAATTTGCAAACTCAATTTTGTGTTTCAGAACACAGGGTCCAACTTTTTCCCGGCACATTTTTGAACTAGACATGGCTACAGACAGAAGAGTCCAGCAGATTCACGCTTGCGGTTATGGGTGGCTCCTCAGGAAAGGGACAAGCTAGAGACAGTACGCAAGCTAATATGAGAGATCGATGACAAACCCAGTAGTTTTGAATTTGGTAACGACTGGTCTGGCATTTCTTATATCTGTCGTCAACGAGGAGAAAACAGAGCTCGAATCTTGTACAATATTAGCGCATATTTTTGTTCTCGTTTTTATATAACAATCCAAAATGTACAAAGCAGATGTGAGGACGTCAGGCTTCCTAAGTTTATTACTGCAAGGCTTGAGATTTGGGCTTGCTTAGGAGTGTTGTACCACAAAGCTGAGACTGTGGTTATGTGAAACGTTTCTGTTGTTTTACCTCCATAATTCAGGAAGAATTTGGTTAGGCATCCAAACTTTCCGAACCGAAGGACAACCTGAGCACACAGCTGAGAGGAGACATGCCACAGAACTAGTCGAGGTGTCGACGCAGACTATTTCGTGACATCGAAGGTGTGTTCGATATTCAGAATTCCTACTGATGCAGAAGCTCGTTCATCATACTCCGACCATTCTCCATCTGTTAGATCAATATTCTCAAACTTGGTCCCAGATAACTGCACAAGTACAAATCAAACAACAGGGGTCATAGGAACATGCTTCAGATGATAAGAAACTGCTAGTGGAGTTCTCACAAGAAGCAAGGAGCAGATTTAATTCAAAACGAGGCAGATAATTTTTTGACAAGACATCCGCTCAAGAAAGTGCAACATTTGAACACAAAAATCCAAAGGTGCAAGAGGCTCAGATTCATAGAGAGCCCAGAAAAATGAAGAGCATTTATGAACTTCGATTGAGGAGGCTGAGATCAAATTCTTGCGATGATGAGAGGGAAGGACATATACCCCTTCAGCTGACCAACCATCTCTCAGAGAGAAAGTTGCTGGTTCCATGCCCCTACAATCAAAGCACGCCACTGGCACAAACTTTCCAGCTTCGCTATCTTCGGCTGTGTAGGGTTTTCCACGCCCGTCGATCAAGGAGATGTTCCCCACACTATCACACAATTTACACTGAAACGTAGGGATCTTCAAATCAAAAACTGCGCTGTAATGCATCGAAATCAATTCTGTGCAAATATTCCCTCGTCCTAACCCAGTTTGTTCTATTTAAACCTCTGATGCGCAGCCGAATTACGAAGCTCTGTATAGATTGAACAACTTGATTTGGTTATGCTGAGCACCTTCTGCACAAGATGTGCTGTTCCCCGACTCTTGGGAATGGGATACTGTTCTGAAGCCGTGACGGTTGAATCCTTCTCGCTAATACTTCCACATCCACCGCATTTCACCTTCACAAAGGTATCAAGAAGACACGTTCACTAAACGGGAAGAAAGCTATTGCAACGAACTGAGTTTCAAGAAAACCTTGACAATGAGATGGGAGATGTGGTAAGCCATTTGTACCAACCAACAATTTGCACCATAATCAGTCCAATAGGTGAAGCATAGCATGCTAACCAAAAATTGGCCTCATTGCCACATCCGACCCTTTCGAAATTTAAAATGCAATAGTCTCGGACCAGCAAATTCCACAAAATCTCGAAAACACAGCGCTTCAATTCGGTCCACGAAGAAAATTCGCTTTCCTACCACCGTAAGGCCTGTTCCCGCTTGCTGGTCGGTCAAGCAGGACTGCAGCCTCAAACGAATTGTGTTCCAGATTGCAATCCACAGAAACAATCCTCCGCCCAAATTTCATAGTGGATAGAGATTAAAAAGCAAGACAGATGCGAGCTAAGCACAAAGAGAGCCATATCGACGGTCGTTCAAAAACGGATGATCTCACCTTAAAGTAGAACGTGAACTCGCTACCATCGGAGCCACCAGTGGGATTCAAATTCGTAAGGTTCTCAAGATCGGCCTTGATTTTCAGCATCAAGAGCACCATCCTGCCGCTCGCCTCCTACTTCTTCCCGACCACCACCTCCTCCTCCTCAACGAAGACACCGAATAAATTCGAAAGGAAGGTTTCTCTCTTCCAACAATTTTTCTCCCGCAACTCTCTTCCTTCCTCTGCTTCTCACTCAGCCGAGAAACCTCCTCCTCCTCCTCCTCACCCCGAGCCTGAAGTCTGATCGGTTCAATCAATCCCGGTTCAAGGCTGTCGGTTCCACTCCTGACAGAAATTCTCACACGCCCAGTGCAATGAACAATGGATGAATGGATGAAACAGATGATCGAGCACGACAAAGGAGGCCAACGTGGGAATCGATGGATGCACTCGCTCGCTGTTTGCAACAGCACTTATACGCTTTTGCTTCACTGGCCGGAGGAAGGGGAAGGGGAAGGCCGGGCTCCCTTGTGCCAGAAGCGCGTTCGTTACAAGAACACTATATCCACAAACTGCAGGCCATCATTTCCACTGTCAGCTATCGAATCCTTAGGAGACACGGCTAAAATTCCTCCTTCCTACTTTCTGCCAATGCAAAAGATCTTCGAAGTGTTTCAAGTTTACTTTCAGACGGAAGAGCAAGAGGTTCTTTTCTGTTTGTTGTGAAGGCTGATGGGACCTCGAGATTTGACGTGACGATTCCCTCAGCGACGAACACGTTGGAAAGAATTTCGATGACAGTCATGGCACTGACGTGGGTCCTACTGCAGCTGTAGAACGAACAGTGGGATGGCACGTGATGTGTCTGTCTGTCTGTCTATCTGGCTGGACGTCTATTTGGCTTTGGGAATTTCACTATCCATTTCACTTTGGGAATTGTAACCACCGACTCTGTTTCTCGAGCAATCCCTGCTCGTGCTGTTGCAGAGGCAAATCGGCCTCTTTCTTCAAGTTTCGCTGTCGATCGAGGCCTTTGAGTAAGAGTAGGCCTTACGTTTCCTTCAGGTGAGTGATGTTCATAAGCCAGAGAGGAAGAGCCTGACACAGCAGTTCATCCCTGTTCCAGTTGCCTTGACTCTCAAGGTCATTATTGCCTTGAGTGTAAGGTCAGACAGACGCACTTGCAAGACCGTCGAGGCACTCCAGTCTTCCTCCTCTGGGGAATCAGTGCTACGTACTTCATACACGGCATATTTCGCAGTTTATCATGGCGTGAAATGTGCTTGCCAGGAGTCACTTGCAAGCTTCGTACATGCCATGGCCTAGTACTATTGATTCGTCACAGCATCATGAACGAAAATCACGACGGCTACGGAAAGTGTACACCCCTCTGCGCTCCCATGAGCTATACTACAATATTGAATAATCAGAAGTCCAAAGGACAGAAAAGGTGGTCGAAATTTGTGGCCAGGCAGATAGATATTGCAACCGATCTATATTTTCAGCCACTTGTGCACGAACAAATGTTATTTGCGGTCAATATGCATGTCAAGCGTTTTGTCAATCATGTTTATTGCCAACGCTGTGATGTGCCCACAATCAGCACTGTAAATTCTTCAGAACGCTTTGCTCTGCTAAATGGTTCAGGCCAACAATCGGAGAAAGGTGCTGTACGTATGTACCTATATTTTAACAGCTTAGCTTTCACAATAAGCTCTCCTGCACTCTAATACAGTAAATGACGAAATTGGATAACTTTTGTTCCAAAATCTCAACCTAGGAGATTGTTAAATTGAACCCAGAAAATGGCTTCATTTTGTACTGCTCTATATTTGAGTGACATCGATGTAGATGTTAATAAGCTAAAAACAGACTATTCTCATTGAGAGGTAAATCCTGCTTCATCTGAATAAGCCGATTTTCAATGTTGGACAAAATTGGTTTATACCTGTACAGGAATCACAAGTTTACAAAGATAAGTAAAGTAGCATATACAGCGGGTTGTAATAGGTCAGTTGGTGAATTTTTTGTCGAAAGGACCTTGATGGACTGACTGCACTTCTATGCAAATTGACGCATATACTTTTGTGAAGAGGACAAACGGGGGAAGGGGAACTTACAGTCTTCCAAGACTGTGAGAAGTCAGTTGGGCACGATTTAGATTGGAAGTGAGTTGAGCCACTTGAGCAGTTTGCTCTTCCATTACTGCTTGCGCATCTGCTAACTCGCGCTGTAAATTCCAAAGCAATAACCAATTTTCAGACAAATTTTAAAGAAAGCATGGATTAAATCATAGCGTAACAATGATCAGAAAAAGCAGGGGAGCTCTTGAGATCGAGGTGGAAACATGCAAATGATTGACACTTTTATAGATATTCAGAAAAACGATTTTCCTACCAGATGAAAAAACCAGCTCGAAGAATATAACATTCTATCACGGTAAGTGCATCGCAAGGTTTTCGCTACAACACCTTGCGATGGTTACGAACTACTTGCGAATAAAGGCCTGATCCTAGCCGTATGCTGCGGCGTCTGCCTTGTCAGCGGCAGACACTTGTTAATATTGAACTTTTCTTGTTTCGTAATAACATAGTACTATCTAAACATGTACTCAGCAGGTTGGAACAAACCTTCAACTTGGCGAAGTCTCTTCTAAGAACATCGTGACCAGTGTCAGGTGCACCTGGTTTGCCCGGTGTTCTTTGTACATGGTTCAGTTCAGCAGATTCAGATAGAGCAGCTTGCTCCATGCGTAGCTTATTTATTTCTGATCTCAACTGAGCGTTGTGTTCTAAACATTGTTGGACCTGGGAGTACACGTGGCACATTAAAAACATGGCATTTGTAAAGTTTCACAGTAAAAACGCTGGTCATGACAGGGACGGAGAGAACCACCCACAACTTACCTGTATCTCCCACTGCGCAGCCATTTCTGAGCTATCTCTTAGGCTAAGCTCCAGATTTGAGTTCTCCACGAATAACCTCTCGATCTCCAGTGATTGTGTATCAATCTGCAATGGGAAAGATGATTAACATTGTTTTACACTATGAGCTTCATCAGCAAACTTTTATGGACATCTTTAGTGAATCGATAAAGCTTTCCTTGTTGGGCAGCTCAAACCCCTTTGATTGAAGAAGTTGGGTGGGATATCTTGCCGAATGACCTTGAGTGGTACGAGGAAACTCGAGCAGGGCAAGCTAAAAAGAAATACAGAAACTGCATCTTCCATAATAGAGTGGAGAAGTGCCCATGAACTACTGTTTTAGCAGTAATCTAAAGAATTCAATTCACCTCCCCCAGTAGCTTTTGGCGCCCTTTTTCCAGTCGTTCCACCATCGATGCAAGCTCATGCAATTGTCCTTCATGCTTCGTCTTCTCCGTCTGGAAATATATCAATGACATCGATAACATTCAGGATGTAAAATCCTCAAGTCACCTTCATTTTGTAATGATATCGCGTTCTATATACTACTTGAACTGCCATGATATCAAAAGCTAGATCATATAAGTTCTTTTTACCAAAATCTGCTTTATAACCATTCAAACCATTAGCGGTAGGAGTCCCTAAGTTCAATACTAGAAATACTTCAAGACCGCATAATAATCAAAACTATGACGTTCTCCTCCTCATGTGAGAGAAACTGGGGATGACAAAAAACTGGGGAGAAACTGGGTGAGCAATTTGCTCGTCTGCAGGGCCAAAACTATATATATGTTACCTTCAACTTCTCTATTTCGCCTTTCAAAGATGAAGCATTCCAAGCATCCTGCGAACATTCAATCAGCCAACCACAGTTAATACTTCACACCAGTAAATAACAACCAGCTACGCGAATACAGATCGATTCCAAGATGGATAACTTTCCCCTTCTTATAGCTATATGTAGACGTTTGCTGTTCAAATCTTCATTACAACCCTAAAATAGAGTCTGAATATACCTCTCAGATGTCCCACACACAAAGTTAGGCAACAAAATTGAACTAAGTGCAAGTTTTATGCGATTTTGGGCGCAGAAAATTACCAAGGAGGCTCCAGTGTCATCGATAGATGACGCTCCTTCCAGCGGCAATGTAATGCTGGCGGAGGCTACGTCATCTTGTTCTATTCACCCATGCCCACGAAATTAGAACTGACAGGACCTTCGTAGTGAGGAAAATATTCTCAAGAGGCATACAAATTGCAAGTACATAATGAGTTTCACATGCCTCTCTACCGGTTACGATAAGCTACCAGTGACCTACAAAGTGGGAAATTCTTGGGCAACTTACGGCCAGACACTCACATACCTGATTGCTCATTCCTAGCTGCAACAAGGGCTGTCTCCATATTCTGTTTTGCAACTTCAAGCTCTTTCACTTTAGAGGTTAGAGAAGCATTTCTCTGACGCTCGGTGGCAAGTTTTAGTTGTTCTTGTTGCAACCTTGTCCACATTTCCTGATTCCCAGGAACATGACCTTGATGTGTAAACAAACCATACGACAAAAACTCAAATAGACTACCTTGAGAACCTTGAGTACAAAGGATACATACCTAAAAGAAACGACATGATGTTCAGAAATTGCGGCCATGACAATGCCATCGCTGTGATTCTTAAACAAATCCTAAACAATTTTGCAACAATCATTGTCTTTTCCAACAACTCTTTGTTGGAAAAGACTAATGCCTTCTGATCAAGGAAGCAACTAACAGGTCTGCACGGAGACACCCTAAGAAAGTAGGAACAAACATACCAACCTCTAATTCAGACTTTACAGCAGCTATCTCTTGATGTTCAGGCATGTAAGAGAACGCTGAAGCATGTCCTCGGTCTGACTGCTGCAAGTTTTGTATCTCTGCACGCAAAGAGGCAGCATCTTCTTCTGCCTGGCTAGACATGTAGCAACTTGTGGTCAGAAAATCATCAACATTGTTCAGCACGAAACTGTGGATGTTCAGTACTTGAAACTTCAGCTCCCATTTTCCCACATGAATCAAATCCAAAGAATCCGAAGACAGCAGAGTAGGTTTGCAACGGAAAGAACATTTACGCAAAGCTGTAAGCTTCCCACCAAGAGAATATAATAAACAGACTCTCCCCTGTCCACAATCTTCACAAAAGCAAGTATCTCACCTTGTACTGCTCTTCCTCAGCCTCCTTCAGTCTCCTCTTTGTCACTCGTAGTTGGCCCATCACATCCTCCTATAGAATCTCAATTCAACTTATAAGCAACAACTCGATTTGATTCCAAAAAAGTTTATGCTCTCACCAATATGATGTCCTGGAAAGACGAGTCAGGACAATGACGTTTACCTTGGCTACGATCGCAGCGTCTCTCTCCATTGCCATTTGATCCAACGCTTTTTGCAGAGCAGCCATGTCCATTTTCTCCTAAGTTCTCCTACAGTCTTCCGTTCCAAGTCCAGATCAATATGTCTCGTGGTATATGAACTATTAATCCTCGGAATCTAACAAATTTCTAAAACACACACCTATCTAGAGTTTCCATCCGTTCGATAATTGAAAGCAGTGTTTGAAAAAACGAGAGAGTCAAGATTCTGGACCATCATTCGGATTAAGGAGAAAAGTTTGTGAGCTGAGGCTGACCTTAGAGGGGGAATCGTTTTGGTGCTTAGACTTCAGGATTCAATCTTGTTGGACTCCAAAATCACGATGGGGTTGTCGTTCGAGAGCGCTTCCTTGAGCTCATTTCTCTGTCTCGTCTGCAAAGTCGGGGGAGACGGGTAGAGTCATGACTGCAATTAACCATTTATAAAAAAGATAGTCCTGCACAAAGCTGATGAAATATCAGCCTCAGGTCAAAAGGGGGAGGAGACTCGTTCGCAGCAGAAATGTTGCAGACAGATGAAGGCGGAATCAAAATCATAACTAGCTTTTGACTCGAGTGTTGTCGGGGTAAAACTAGCGCATTAATTTTCTGCTTATCGGCAGTCCTGGAGCCAACAAATGTTCAAATACGATAGACACTCTCGATGGGATAATTGATCTAAAAGATTTTCCAGGAGGAAATTCGCAAGGACCAATACTCAAGGCCATCAGCTGAATCATAACTTCAAACTGACTCCGAAATTCACATATAATACACTCAAAGCCCTGAAAATCCCCTTGCTGCTATATAATCAACACAGAACAAAAATTCCGAAAAATTTGAAATTCCTCGGACCTGCCCGCTCCTGAATTGCTTGGCGCGACACGCCGGAAATCGATCTCCACAAATGCAGACGTCCGGATCGAAACGAATGTACAGTCCCCGTTCACAGATCGATCAGTGGAACTGTAAGACAGCTTCAGAGAAATGTGGCCCATTCTCCAATCTCGACGGACAATTCGCTGATTTCGCTCTGTTTCTATTTTCGTTTCCGTTCGGTACTTTCGGCCCTTTCGGAGCAGTGCACTCTGTATCCTTTGCTTTCTACCGCATTTACGGCCCCGGATCAGTGTATATAACACTTTGTATGATATCTACTGTGTGAAGTGTATTATATTGTACCATATGTAAATTCAATATACATTCCTGCATGGTTTATAGGTGCATAACAATGGCATATATGAATTTTCACCCAACTCCCACCTTGAAGTAATCAAAGTTATTTCTTATAAGTTTGTGGTATTATAAGAGATATCTACATATTTGATGTACAACAAGAAAATAATGTATATTCAGAAATAGTGTGTTCTAACCTGGTAATAACTATTGTTTATGGATGCGTTTGTTTTCATACATTGGTATATGCTTCCATACAACAACATTCACTCACCCCACAACAGGTATACAGTTCCGCAAACAGAGACAATAATAATAATAATAAAATAATAAAACAGAATATGGAGAAAAATCTTCGTTAAGCATTGTTAGCTTTAAGTTTCCAAACTTATACCATTCCTAGCAAACTTCTATCTCCCAACACTTGAGTTCTTGTACTAGGTAAGTGATTTTTTATTTTTTCCACGAACCGTACTCAAGAATTCGAAAGTCGCATGAAGTAAAACTGAATCAATTTAAGAAATATTGAAATGTAAAAAGTTACAATACAACTTGTATCCATTGCAATTATCAATTCCTAAAAAGTAGTCTTTTATGCCTACTTTGTTAACTTTACATTTTTCTTCCCATTAGTTTGGAATGTTCATCTTAGTAATCATCAATATCTTCTTGCTCTACGCTTGGATTAAATCTTGATTAGTCAAGATTTAATCAAATCTAAATTGGCAACCTTAAGTATCCATGTTGTCGAATGAAACTTCTACCTTTCTCTCTTATCATTTTGATCATTTGTAGATCTTTATCTACAAATTATCAAAATGATAAAAGAGAAAACCAACAAAAAATATGAACCAAATTTCTTGTATCTCACACAATATTGTTATTGAATTAAAACTACTTTTTGAATACTGTCAAAATATGTGTTGTACTTTTGATCTCAAACACATGACATGCATTTATAATATATCAACTAACACATGCTCTCATCATCTTGTGATGTAGTTAACTTACCTGCATATTTAAGCCTTGTACATTTTTCTATTTTTTTATCTGTCCATCTTTATTTTTTACAAGTAGGTAGAAAAAAATAAATTTTATGTTGTCGAATTTCATCTTTGGTAATGTTCAAGATGAATGACAAAACGGATAGATTTCATCCAACACGTATTTTACTTATTTACCTTTTTGACCACATTATGTAGATTTTGCCATAAAGTTTACTTCACCATGCCTCCCTTTAATAGAGGGGTATGATGCGCACCCTAAGGTTGCAACTTGTTCATTGTATTGATCAAATTAGCATTAATTACTTAATTTAAACAAAACTTGATGTATCCAATAAGTAATTTGTATTAAAATGGTGTCACATCAAGTAATTTCTGGGGGCGGCTAGTTATCTCTCACCTAGGGCTAATTAGCTCTCATTAATCAACCTACTATACAAAGTTCATTCATTGGTTCACTCGGCTTATAGGTTTTGTGTGAGAAAAATAAACTTCGCAAGTTTTCAGTCTTTCTGATCGACGTCAAAGGTGCTTCCATTGCAAAAGCCATGAAGGAACTATGACTGCCAAGTCTAGGTTCGAGTATCCACTTCAATTGTGCAACTGGTAGCTTTTTCCACCTGGACTAGAGGATTTGACTACATCCCTTTCGAGGTGAGCCATGAGAACAGAGGTCTCGAGTCAAAGTGAAAATCTTTAATTTTGAACAAATGCGTTGCTCCTCTGAAGATAGTGTGGCTCTCCAACACCAACACCTTGTCTCCATTGCAAGCGAGTAGTTCTATGCAGCAAAGTCCACCGATTCCTCTACCGTTGACGATCACGTCCGTTTCTTCTATACCTACAAGCAACATGGTTCACGACGGGTGAATTCAGGATTGAACTCATAAAAGTTTCGTCGTTGCTTGGGCCTAAGTGAGCACTCATGTCCCTTCAAGATTCCTCCATCCCAAGAAACATCGATGAATTTGGCGGTCAGTTTTCCAATTCGAGCTGCGACGTCTCCGCCCAAGACGAATGATCTTCAACATCGAATTCAAAAGAACAAATACCACGAGAAAACCATCAAGTTCAAAATGTGTATATACCTTGACGGACATTGCACACGGAACCACATACTTTTCACATTTCTTCGTCACGCCGCTCTGTTCGCCACGATCATTGCATTCTTGCTGAGCAACCTATTGCGTCCCGCCTTTTCAGTACTCAATATCGACGTTACCACGGAATTAACTCCCTCCACATCACTCAACCTCAACGGTGCCGAAATGATTTTGGTCACCACAGATTTCACGGATTTGCAAGCATTTGCAAAGGTGGAACACCACTGCTAAGGTATCTTTGCAATCAGCCCATCGACATCAAGCTTTTGACGTGGCTACTCGCACCTAGACCTAGCAGTCATGGTTCCTCCGTGGCAAAAGCCACGGATGCGTCTTTGACGTCAATCAAAAGATCAGAAACTTGCAAAGTTTATTTTTCTCACACAGGTCCTATAACCCGAGTGAACCAATAAGTGACCTTCGTATAGTAGAGTGAAGGCTAATTAGCGCCATGTGAGAGATAACTAGCCGCCTCCAATTTTCTGTTCTAAATAAGAGAATGCTGAGTAAATCACTATTGATCTATGGTTTTGCTCAAATTATGAACTCGAAGACATACAAGAAAATTGAATAAAAATGTTGAGATGTTTAGATCTAAATTCACTTCAATAAAAATTATGCTATGAAATTTATTTTTGTGCTTCACAGTTGATAAGTTTGTGATTTACATCTATACTCAACTATTCCACTCATTTTGATTTTATGTTCGTGACAATTGTTCATCTTGAATAATTTATATATATATATATATATAATTGATTATAGTTTTCAAATATTTTCAATTCTCATTATAATTAATGACAACACATCGGCCCTATGGATCAAACTATCATAATGAAATTGTAATGGTATAGTATAAGAATAATTGTGATATCTTTCATATCCATTAATAACTTATATGATTATGATTGATTACAAAATCATCAAGAAACATTTAAGCATCTATTGATATAAATTTAAGTTAATAATATTTTCCTTTTTATTGCAAAAAATCGATTTTATTTGTTGTTTTCATGTGTCTTAAATAAATTATATTCATTGGATGTTATAAATTATAAGAATTAAAAAAAAATTTGAATATAAATATTCTTAGGAAATCATTCCCGATCTCTGAGAGCTCGATCGGCGGTTCGATCCATCCACTTGCCATATGCCAAGACGGTTACTCCTGCCGTTATGAAATGACACGTTACACTGTCGGTTGATTTATTGTGTGCATTTTTTTCCATATATTCAAAAACGAATGTTTATACTTCTTTACAGATATAATTCGCTTTATATTCATTATATTCTTAAAAAAAAATTTCCTTTAAAGTTTTCACGAATTATCAGAAGATTTTAAACTCTTTAATCATTACCTATTGGCTGAAAATTTAAAGATTGTAAAAGATATTCTATTTGAATAATGTAATCAATATTCATATGAATTGCATGAAATCATTTAAGTAAAAAAGTTCAAGGATATATATCCAGTTACATTTGAAACATCATAATTTTCATCATAATGTACTTATTTTATTATATAAATATAGATATAAAAATGTTCTAAAATTTTTTACAGTTACTTCATTGAATTATATACATGATATTCTTCAAATTTTATCAAAAATTTCATAAATCTTCTTGGAAAGTGTGCATCTAAGAACTTTGTATACTTTCTCTGCTGAGTTTATCAACTTAAAAAAAGTGATAAAGTTTTACAAAATTTCTTTTAGAAATGTCTGAAGGTTGGTGTTTTTGTGGAGTATTGATCAATGCTACTTTATTGTAAGCATATTAGTGCATCGAATAATCATATACAAGAACATTTATATTTGGAGCACAAAGTGAAGAAGTGACGAGTGAACGCCTTAAAAGTGAAAAGTTTATTGTGCTATTTGTGTAGAATAATTCGTATTTTTTAAGTTTGATGTGAATAGGATTGGGATTTTTTATTTTGAGAACAAGATGTGGTGAAATACGTTCAAGCTCAACATTTAATTCAATAAACTTGTTGGTTAATTAGACGTTTCACGTGATTTTTCAAAACATACCATTCATTTTTCATGAAGAACATACACCAATGAGGTGAGAATACCAATTATATTAATAATCTCCAACTACAGAATAAAAATGATTCATGCTTAAATTTGACGATTATGTTCTAAGTTGGTAATATTCTTATTTCTCAGTATTTTCAACTATGTGTTTGTTACATAATTTTTTTCAAATTTATTCTTATGAACCAACTCTCAATTATACTGTACATGATAGTTGATGAGCTTTGATAAAAACGAATCACCGACTAAGAAGTGAAGAAAGCCCCGAGGAAAATGACACCTTAATGCTGAATCTTTTACCCATAGGTGATCGCTCGTCACTAAGGGCTCCCACTTTCGGGGGAAAGCGAGCACTGCCCGGGTCCGTCTGTGGCCCGCAGCCCGACCTCCCCTACAGAGAGGGCCGCCCCGCTCGACCATCGGGCTCCTCCCTCGCGGCCTCCCTTCCCCACAGGGAACTTGTACTCTGTATTTATCTCTCTACTCCCATCACAAAACTATGAGCATGTTTGGGTCTTTACTCTTCCTCTCAAAAAAACTAAGTACTTTTTTTTCCAAAGCATTCTTTTCTCTTTTTATTTCTCTTCAATTTCTACATTTAAGTAAATCTATTCATGTATTATCATGATGGAGAATCATAAGAGAACTCGAAATGAAGGATTACACAAACGCAAGATCAGAGAAGAATCAAAAATAGCTTTGGTTAACAATTCTACCCTCACGTATTCATTCGAACATGCCGTGTCTCGAGATTCCAAAGCTTTTTTCCCAGGACAGAGAGAGGCCCGAGAGAGTTCTCCAATGGAGTTATCCTTGAACTGGTTTGAATGGCTCGTAAGGTCCGGGGCAAACTGAGAACATTCACTGGTGCAGGCGACCCTCGCCACTAAGGGCTCCCCAGTACCCCTAAACCCGGGAGCGGGGCGGCCCTCCCTGGTCGAAGCGGGAGGTCGGGCTGCGGGCCAGGGACCGCCTGGCATCGGGCCAGGGCGGGCAGTGCTCGCGTTCCCCCGAAAGTGGGGAGCCCTTAGTGACGAGGATAGGTGATCCCGTATTATCGCCAAAAGTGTACTAAAGAAAATTTACGGCTTTGCCCACAATTGGTAGGCTCTGTTCAAAAAATTAGCCCGTGATAGTTTAGAAACGAAAACTACTGAGGCCATGGGATATATTACATTCCCGTGAAGTATGTTGTTTACATGTGGTGATCCCGCCATAAGTATTGAACAATGTCTACAAGAAATATAAATCCTATCTGAATGCACTAATTTCTACACGAATTTTATAACTCACCCCTGAAATTTAGGGAGTACCTTAGTCCATGGTCGCAACCCGAATCAATATTTACTGGACTGTCCTATCCCGTTGTCGTTAAACTGCTCTGATTCTACTCGCAAATCTTCTGATTTCTTGGCGGAAAAACGATTCAGATTTTCTGTACATGGTGGGAACTCGAGCTGGAACTGCACGGGCTGCCGATGAGAGGGTCTATTTGGGATCGAGAGAGCACGCGGAGGAATCGGGGATCGAGGGTCGAAAGCAGACGAGGAAGCGGAGTCGCGGACTCGTGACGATCAGAACGAAAACGCCGATGAAGCCGATGGCAGAGCCGACGACGAAGGCCATGCCGGCGTCGAGAGAAAGCAGATCGTCGGCGAGGCTGCTCTCCAATCCCGGCAAGGCCGAGGATACCGGCGAGGTGGGCACGCTGTCGGAACAGGCGGCCAAGGGCAGTCCGCAGAGCTCGGGGTTGCCGGCGAACGACGCGGGGAAGAACCGGGACATCTCGCCGGGCATGGCGCCGGACAAGTTGTTGTACGAGAGGTCGAGCACGCCGACGCTCGGCAAGCCGGCGGGAATCGGACCGGCGAGGCGGTTGTGTGAGAAGTCCAGGTGCTCCAGGGCGTCGAGATTCGCGATGGCCGGCGAGATGTCGCCGGTGAAGGCGTTGCGGGAGAGATTCAGGTAGCGCAGCCCGCGCAGCTCGTACATTTGCGGCGGGATGTCGCCGGCGAAGGCGTTCTGCGACAGGTCCAGGCTCGTGAACGAGGCGGACACGGAGGTGCGCACTTGGAAGCTGCCCTTGAGGTGCAGCCCGTACTCGTAGTGAGTGAACTGGCGGGCATCGAAGCCTTCGGTTGGCTCGAATCTGTTGTCAGACTCCTCGACACTGTTCGAAACGACCTTCAATTTCTTCAGGTTGTTCATCTCTGCAGGAAGCCTGCCCTCGAAGTCGTTTGCTGAGAAATCTATGAGCTGCAAGTACTCGAGATGCCACACCCACGATGGAATCTCTCCGGTGAAACTGTTAGATCTGAGGAGGAATACTTTCAGAGGTGTGGGTGCCCAGCCGGGCAGGTCCGGGAGAGATCCCTGGAAGTGGTTGTTGCTCAGATCTAGGATCTCGAGGGACGCATTTTGGAGTGACTTCGGGAACGGACCTGTTAGATTGTTGTCGCTCAAGAAGACGGAGATGTTTTTGGAGGGATTGTATCCGCTGAAATCTATCGTCAGTTCACCACTCAGAGAATTCGCGGCCAGGTTCAGGAGTACTAATTCTGTCAGCTGACTGAACGAGTCTGGAATTGGACCAGTAAGCTTGTTGTTGTTGATGGACAAGTATGTCAGATTGGTAATATCCCCCAGCTGCGCGGGTATAGGGCCTTCCAGGTTATTGTCCCCCAAACTAAGGTACTCCAAATTGCCCAGCTCACCGATCCACTCCGGAATTCCTCCAGTGAGAGAGTTGTTGGAGAGCCAGAGGGACTGCAGGTTGGTTAAATTCCTGAGAAAGCTCGGAAACTCGTTCGTGAAGTGATTATCACCGATGTCGAGGCCGGTGAGCTTCACAAGAAGCCCAAGACTCTCGGGAATGGCACCTGAGAGCGAGTTTTTCCGCAGAAACAAAGTGGTGAGGTTTGTCAGATCTCCCAGGGTCGAGGGGATGCTCCCATTGAACCTGTTGTTGTGAAACTTCAGTTGTTGAAGACTTCCTGCTCTCCCTATCTGCTCAGGAATTTCTCCCTCCAGCCGGTTCGAGTCAAGATGTATCTGTAGAAGCACCGAAGATGAGTTGAAGAGCCCTGGCGGGATGGTTCCAGTCAAGGAGTTGGTACCAAGATTCAGAAACAAGAGACGCGGAAGACTACCCAGAAATGCAGGAACTGGACCACTGATGTTGTTGGTGGCCAGGGAGAGGTGAAACAGCTGGAGAAGATTCTCAAACTCTTGAGGAATCGGTCCTGAGAGCTTGTTGTTGTCGAAGTTGATAGCCGTCAGATTCTTGAGTGATCCATACTCTGGAGGCAGAGGCCCCGTGAGAACATTGCCCCAACCTTCAAGCCATTGAAGTGAGGCGCATTCCCCTAGTGTACTCGGAAGCGGGCCGCTAATGTTGTTGTGAGAAAAGACGATGTCCTCCAGCTTTGTGCAGTTTTTAATCGAGGGTGGTATGGGGCCCATGAGGTGGTTGTACTGGAAAGAGACCTCCCTGATATTCGGGAAGCTGTCGCAGATTCCGTCAGGAATAGAGCCAGTCAGCTGGTTGAACCCGATCTCCATCTTCTGGACAGCAGAAAAATTGGCAAATGTGAGAGGCAAGGTCCCGTTGAATTGGTTTCCAGTGAACATAATCTCCTCCAGGTGAGGAATTTGACTCAGGGTGCCCCATGGGATGGGGCCCGACAGCTGGGTATCTCTGATGTAGATCATCCTAAGCGCAGACAAATTTGCAAAAGTAGTCGGTATCGTGCCGGTGAGTGTGTTCGTGGACAAATCCAGGTCGGTTAGATTCCCAAGTGCACCGAGGCTCGGAGGAATCTCGCCGCTAAAAGCGTTTTGTCTCAGCTTCAATTTTTTCAAAGAACCCAAGTCACCCAGAGCGGTTGGAATCTGGCCTTGGAAGTTGTTGCTGTCGAGGTGTAGCTCCTCGAGATGGACCAAATTTCTCCACATCTCCGAGGACAGATTCCCGCCGAGCGAATTTTTTGTCAAGTTCAGAACTCTGATGTTGGTAAGCAGCTGCAGTTGTTCAGGTATCGATCCGTTGAGCGAATTTTGAGTCAGGTTCAGCACTCTCAGGTTGGAAAGCAGGCCTAGTTGCTCAGGTATTGGTCCGGTGAGCTGATTGAAATCAAGTGATAGATCTAGCAACGAACTCAGCTGTGACAGCTGCGAGGGAATCTCGCCGCTCAGTTGATTATTCCCGAGGTCAAGCACCTGCAGTTGCTGTAGACGTCCCAGATCAGCAGGTAAGGCTCCAGTCAAGGTGTTGTTGCTCAGGTCCAGCACCTTCAAGCTTTGGAGAAGACTCAAGTTGCTCGGGATTGGACCATCTAGAGCAACATTGGAAAATACCCGCAATGTCTCGAGCTGCTGACAGTTCCCGAGAGTTGAAGGAATGGCTCCAGAGATATTGGTTAAGCCAATCTGAAAATCTTTGAGTTGGGTGCAGCCGCCGATACTATCCGGAATGGAACCTGTGAGCTCTATGTTGCCCGTCAGATATAGAATGGTGAGGTTCTTCAGAGTTCCGATTGTTGAAGGAATGGCTCCGAAGAGTGAGTTGTGACTGAGGTCGAGAGTAGTGAGAGAGTATAAGCTTCCTATTGATTCGGAGATGAGCCCCTTGAGCTCAAAAGAGGACAGGTTAAGAGACACGACGTGCTGCTGCAAACCATCGCACTGGACTCCCGACCACGAACAGAAAGTAGAAGTGTCGTTCCAGTTTTGAAGGGCCCCCAAAGGATCTTCCAGAATCCCGCTTTTGAAATCGAGCAATGCAGAACTGCAAGAGGAAAATCTTCTCAGTTTTAGATCGAATCCACGAAATAGCCACGTACACGGAAAAATCCATATTGGATAGCCCAGATATTCAAGATCACCTTCTCCAGAACCCATGAACTTTTCCTATATCATGCAAAATACATCTGATAAGCACCGTTCGCGTAGCACATACGAGAGGCCCGGACTCCAATCTCTGAGAGTTAATAGGCGTCAAGAGAGAAGAAATCTGCAATTGGACTAGCATTCATATCTTCTAAGCAGTTTTACCTGTCATTCAAGGAGTCACTTGCTTGCTCCTGGAGCATTCGCACGAGATCACGGGGGACCTCACATTTTACGTATACGTTCAGTGATCCTATGAGTATCTGAAGTGATCCTAGGCAGAGAAGGAATTTTAGAAATTCTTTCCTGGCTCCCCGAATCGCCATTCCTCCAAGTGAATATTGACAGTTTCTGCAGTCTTTGCTCTCCAAGGACGTTTTCGACGTCGATCACAATACACAGCTGCTGCTGCACCTGTTGGGCGCTTGAGAGCTAGAAGACTGTAAAAACTGTCAAGTTGAACTCGAGGTTATGGTCTCTCTTGAATAGACTTATGCATTATATATCGCTGACTCCGGCCCCTCCAGCACAATAGTCGAAGATGGTGAACATGACGTAAGTTGGTATCAAGCTCAGCGTCCATAAGTTTATCTTGCACTGTAGACACTGGGTCACTTGGAATCAACCGACTCCAATTCTACCTAAGGTTTGGACGTACAAACTTCGCACATAAAACCTCCATTAAAAAATTCATCACATGTTACACACGCTTTCATGTCCAAACCTCAGCAGCCCCTTTTCTGATCATGTGTATTGTGGTACACAAGAACACGTCTTCGTTGACAAACTACAGTGGAGTAGGAAGGGAATGGAGGTTACTACGAGATGTTTCTCGTTACTCTACAAATTTTGACGAGTAGGTAACGTCAGTGCGTTCTGACAATGAAGTTTTGTCATCACTCAGGCAGGCCTCCACACGATGATCGATCCCGAAGAGTCCTGCTGCGGTCCAAAAGTCCTGCACGCACGCTCACTGAGTCCTGCACTTAACGACATCGTCTACTCGGCCTTGAAGAAGTGGACGCAGTTGATCTCTCGCCAATAGGACACATCACGTCTGCTCTTCTGAAGCCGCACTGATCCATCCAAAAGCACACTCCTGTCTTCGAAATAATAAGATAAGAAATCTGAGGCAAGTGGATAGCAAAAAGTATTTCAAAACCCAATAACACGGCAAGTTTGACCAATAGGCTTTCACAATGAACCGAAGTTTAGATTGAGGTCCGTATGTTGTTATATAAACACGTTAATTTACCTCAACCTTCGTGGTGTTCATACAATCCGTGTTTTATATAATTATTTAATGGAGTGGTACCCAAGGTTTCAAAACCTTATTCAAAAGGAAGGAATGTGGAGGGCCATACATGAATATCACCTTCCACCATTTGAAAACTCAATCTCTGATTTTCTTCAGAAGTGAATCAAGAGTCAACGTTTTGTGCCTAGAGTCAGCTTTAGTATTATACTTATTGCCGACTGAGCATCTTCGACAAGCCATGACCAACCAGGTAGCCGAGCACTTGGTGGAATAATTATTAATTTCAAAGTTTGGAAGAATATCCCAAGACTACCGAGTGCTGGCCGAACGCTAGAGCTAGAGAGCTAGAGAGAGAGGTGCCCCCGGCCACTGGAAAATTTTCTTCTTCCCGAAGTGCTCGGCTACCTGGTTGGTCATGGCGGTAGTCGAAGATGCTCGGTCAGTGACTTCTGAGAGACTAAACCCCATTCTCCAAAAACTTCTCCAATAGAACAGAATCCAGAAGGCCGTAGATGGCCATTTATACTCTTCTATTTGAAACCTCATTTTCAGATTCTCTTCTAAAGTACACCACGGGACAAAGCTTTGTGAGTGGAATCAGCACACTGTCTTTCGATTCGGTTCCATCACTTCTTCATGGGGTCGTCCCATCCTTCTTTGTTATCCACTTGGCCCCCTAGCTTTTGACCACTAGGCTATTGGACTTTCTTGTATAATTTCGTCCACTCGTTCATGCATGGGTCATCGCGTTGTCAAGATGCAACCATTTTACATTCTGAGTAAGCTTGGAAAGCTTCAGACTCTACAGTTTAGCTATTCCAGTGGCAATTTCTGTATGGCTTGCCCACTCACTTTCGAATTATCATACACGCCCGTGCTTGCACTGTTTCTACTGTCGATACGTTTGTTCCCGAATGAGGGGTGACATATGTTTTTCCGGATGAACATTGGGTCTCAAGGTAAGAACAAATGGGTCGAAGAACCAAAGAATAGCACCCAGTAATTACCAGTGCTCTCTTTCTTACATGAGCTCTGAGAGTCCAAGTCTGACATCTGTGCTAAGCTCATACTCAGCTTCACTGAGTTGCTTGTTGAAGAAGACTATGTCAACGACATCTTTTTCCACATATCGTGACAAAATGGAAGTCCGTCGCCTCGAACAAATAAATGACTAACTATCTGAATTGAGTTGGCAACTGCAGTATAATGGTCGGTCGCTTCAGACATAAGTTAAAGTTGACCTTCATTGTAGAAGTTCATCGCAATCATTGATCGAAAACATATATGTCGAGCTCTTTGTGAAAAATTATGCAAAGGACGAGCAAAGATGAGGCTACTGGGAGACAAGTTCTTTGTCTCTCGAGCATGCAGTATACTTGAACAACGAAATACTTGACAACTTATGCAGAGATTAACATGTAATAGCCACCCTTTCCATCTCATAGAGGTTGCAATTGATAGAATCCGTGAGTCGTGTTGGTAAGCCAACATCACTTGAATGCAAGACTAGTAATTTTATGCAAGTAACATGCCATGGATCTGGTTGTAAGGTACACGTTGGGAGATTCCGTATATTCCGAAAAATAACCATGACATATTGATTGGACATAGTCTGCCGATTGATAGGACGACAGTTCATACACATTAGCTTAATTGTATAGTTGCCATGGTACATCTTTCATAAGAGGCATGACAATGGCTGACGTGTATTCACCATATGACAATTTCATTAACCTAATCTCTAGTAGGTCCAATGTCGTATTCAGTATCAAATTCCTTTCCATATCACTGTATCCATAGGAATGGAAAAAAATTGCGTAACACTAGCCAACTCCAGGGCCGGTCATAACACCCAACTCCATGTTGAAGTCAAAACAATTCTTATACCAATGTAAGAATTGTGTTAACCGTCGTCACTACTCTCCGGTGATTTGGACACCAATCAATAGCTTTCAATCTTTCTTTGTAATGGATTTCTGAGAATAACATAAGGTCATAAAACATAAAATGGAAGATCACAAACAGTCAAGCTAAGTCCACTCCACTACTAGGAGAATGCAAGTAGATGCTAATGGGAATCTTGATATCCGGGTGCTATTCACAAACGGACTATGTCTCAATGCTGAAGGTTCAATTCAAAGAACTAAACTTTTTTTGAGATTGTATAGCCGTCAAAGTATGGATTATACCACTATTCGTCCTCACAAGATCACAGTCAAACCATAATATGCATGAAATCACATTCAACTAGGAATGAAATCTCATTGCACACTATATACCTTAGCAAATCTACATATGATCATGAAAGATTCGATGTTGTGATGTGATTACTATTTGGTCATGGATACTGCATTATACTTCATGTATGTAAACTAGCATAATCAAATTTCCATGGGTTGACATAACTGGTGGATTTCAGGGATAGATTATCCTCAAATTTCATTGAATTTATCTCACATTTCAACACAAGTTATTGAAAATACATCTTGCACATATCAATAGCGTATCACTATATATTATATACCATTTATCACACTATAATCTAAATACTAATTTGTGTCTATTCATGATTATTTTTGAATAAAATTTCAAACATTACATTCCTTATAAATAAACTTAACTAACTATGAATCTTTTCTATTAAAAATATAAGCTTAGCTTAATATCATGAAATAAAATTTGTAATTTACGTTCCAAAAATTCATTAGAATTTACTTTTTTAATAAAATTTGTAACCATATTCCTACATCTAAATTTTATTATTAAAAAAAACTTGAAATAAACCTTAAATAATTTTTCTAAGGCCTATCACTTTCTAAAATTTGCAAAGTTTCATAATTTTTTTAAAATTATACTCTAAGATATAGATGCTTAAATAAACTAATTTTAGCTGTATGATGTGATATCTTCGCCGTAATATGCTCACGCGTAGGTTATAAATTTCATGCATGGTTACATTTATCTCAAATGCATATCTTTCAATAACAAAATATCCAAATCTTTTATTCAATGAGTACTTTCATGGAATTGACATGTGCAACTCACGATAAATACTTAATCTATGTGGTGCACACCTTCAATAACACGTGCTTTCATGAGGAATTTCAGGCATCATGCCTTGCTCACATCAGTTGTATTTGATCTCATTCGAAAGTAATATCAAATATTCAATTCCAACAGTTTTGGATATTATAATACGGAGAGTGAAACCATTCTCACCAGATAATGTTGACTTGCAGATTTACCGTACAAGATAGGAATGACTAGAGTGGAAGAGGGCTCAGATACTCCAGGGCAGAGAATCCGGTTGTGAAGGGAGTGTATATTTCTTTCTTCAATGAAGTGGACATTCAGGACTTCAAGTCGAACAAACACAACACGATGGATGCATTGACTCACGATTCATCAAACAATCGTATTATAACATGCTGGCAGGATGCTGAATGCGCAGCAGAGAAGAAGGCAGGCAAGGAGAAGCGACAAGAAGTCAACACCATTGGACTTAACCTTCGAGTCTTTCATCGATTTGACGACTTGTGCTTCTCGGAACCCTGTGCCAACTCCAATTCCGAAGATTCTTCATGCAGTTTAGTATGTGGTGGTACAACGTTTGATCGGCGATCCTATTTTCCCACGACCGACGTGACCTTTGGAATACATGGTTGGTAATCTGAATATTTTTTGAAACACAAAAGTCACGAGTCTCTATGTGACAGTATGTTTCACACTTAACACTCCTTGCCTCGCTCGAGCGGATCTTGGGCACAACGCTGAGATATTTGGAGTTTATGATGTATGCAGGGATATAACCTAACTTGCTTCTCCACGTTCGGAGCTACGGGAGCCGCCACAAAATGTAGATCAAGACGTCGTCTCATACGTAATCAGAATCAGCGGACTGGACAGCATGATAGCTGGTGCGATCTTGCCGTCCACAGTGAGTCAACCAAGAGCACCGGTCCAGTCCTACAAATCCACTTTGGTGAACTGGTACCCACTTTAGTCAGATAAGTGGGGACTATTTCTTGTATTATCAAACGATCGCTTGTCAACGGGCTCAGGCCTGGAAATCCGCGAATTCCGTCCCTCTGGATGCTATTGTAGCTGTTTGGGAACATGTCTTGGTCATATTCGTCATTCATTCATTCTGATCCCACTTGCTGGGAGGCGCTTTTCCCAGTCTTAAGAAGGAATTTATAATTATCTCAGGCCCTTTTCATCAATTCTTCACATTGAATCAACCTTGAGTAAAACCCTTAAAAATGAATCTTGTATCGATGAAACTTACCTCAGTTAGCATGTAAAGCAACGAGGAGATTGAGACATTCTTGTTAGCTAGAAGGTTGACTTCGAGGGCGTGATAGTAGGCTTGAATTTATTTATACATATAGGCGTACTATCACTGTTCAGTGTCTTAGTCTTTTGATTATCGAGTCAATAGTTCTCTCAATTTGCTATCGACCAGCAATTCTCGGCAATTGAAACCACTTTTAAATTGGATATTACCTGCTTCAGATGCCATATTTCCAAGTAAAAGTTTAACATATGAAAAGTCAAATCAAATCACTGCAGCGTTAAAATGAGAGTACACATATGTGTATTATACTTCTGCTGTTGTATAATACTACAGAAATCGACCTGAAATTGAAAAAGTGTCCGGTGAACGACTCTGGTTTCGAGTTCTACGACGTTCTTAGCAAGACCGCAGGCTAGAACAACCCCGACCGTATGCCATCAGACGGTCTATATAGTGTGCGCGATCGGCGGGTGAGTTCTTCACAGTCGGATGGGCATACGGTCGGGGTTGATCTAGCCAAAAGTTTAGCAAGGTGTGATCACGTCAACGCGTCAGTTCCTACGTTTGCATAGCTGCTCGATGCAGAAGACACTGAAATGTCACGTACGAGAATTTGACTTGTGTTGGCTGTTCATCAAAACAAATTACTAATGGCTAAGAAGTCACTGTCCTAAAGAATCTGATGAGTTGTCGATCTTTCTTTCACAAGCGTCACTGACATTTCTTGAACGTAGCCCAGCTCCATCAAGTTTCAAGGTTCTAGGATCTGATACAGACGAACAGGGTCTTGTACTTCATTCCTCTACCCCAAAGAAGGATTATACTACACTCCTCGTTCGTTCGATTCCTTGTATCACTAATGCAGAAGCAGAAGCATGCCAATTCGTTGAGCTCAAAAATATGATTTCAATAGCTCACAGCATTCGGATGAAGTCTAAATTATATTGATCCCTTTCGGGAGGTAAGCAAATTCAAACCTCCTCCCCGTACACATTGGCCTTCTAGATCTAGCGGAACAGATTCCAAATGCAATCTCAGAAATGCAGTATCAGTCAAGCTCAGTGAGTGACTGAGACGAATCTACTCAGAGGTTCGGTGATTTCGGTTAACAACCTGCGCTTCCTTTCAGAAACCTGGAATGTCCAAACTCTGGAAAAGTATGTCAGGATCATAAACAGCTAATGAGGAGCGGAAGCACGTGAGCGACTAGAACGGCCGACATTGCAGTCCTCAGATATCCGGTTTTCGAATTTGCAGCTTCACTGAGCGGCAGCAGAGGCAGCACGGGAATGTCTTGAGCCTTCCAGACGACAGACTTGCCATCTTCGTGGACGAGGACGAGATTCCCAGAGTCTTGGACCTGTACCTGTCCACGTCCAGCCCTGAGGAGGGAAGTCTAGCGACATTGGATTGTTCGACGCTCCGAACACGAAGCTGATATTCCACGGAGATAATTCTCGATCCGGGCACAAGATAGCTTGTGCGAAGCTGTACATCTTGTTCGGAGAATTGACGATCTGGGAGACGCCCATCGCTGCGCATCCTTCCTGACGCTGCAGAGTCTCCCAGTCCTGAAGGACGACATACTCGAACGGCCGTCGCCCGCCTACCCCATCGCTCACGAATCCAGCGGTAGACGTCGTGGGTAACGAGCCGAGGATGAAACTAATGATGCCCACGGCTAGCGCAGACGAGATCCCTGGGAAGCCATGGCTGCAGCAGATTGACAGTCAGAATGCATCATTCTTGCCCTTCCAATTGCATTCGCCGAGGGGATTGCAATTGTAAACCTCGTATTCAGAGCAAAGTCACACACTCATGGCCTGAGGGTGCTACTCCGAGACTCAGGAACGGGCAGGATTCAATAATTAGACCAGATCAAGGCCCATGGATAAGACTTGCCGTGAATTTCTAGCAACTGCGAGATTGCTAATACCCACGAGACTGCTAGCACCCACTCACTATCGAATTATCATACATTCTCTACGTTCGTTCCCGAATGAGGGCTGACATATGTTTTCCAGATGAACATTGGGTCGCAAGGTAAGAACAAATGGATCGTAGAAACCAAGGAATAGCTCGTAGTCATTACCAGTGCTCTCTTTCTAACATGAGCTATGAGAGTCCAAGTCCGACACCTGTGCTAAGCTCCTATTCAGGTTCACTGAGTTGCTTTTTGACTATGTCAAGTTGACATAGTCAAAGACATGTCGTTGACTAAGTTGTACGATGAAATAGGGTTTAGTAAAGTGTTCGGTGAACGACTCAACTTATCATAGAGATTAACATGTAATAGCCACTCTTTCCATCTCATAGAGGTTGCAATCTATAGAATAGATGAGTAGTGCTAGTCAACCAACATCACTCGAATGCTAGACTATTTTTTGTATGCAAATAACATACCATGGATTGGTTGTAAGATACATGTTAGTAGACTTTCGTATTGGTGAAGAAATCTATATACGACACTAGTTTACACACAAATTTGTTGATTGCTACAAATTTGGTCCAATTTTTTTTTTTTGTTGAAATTCTCATCAAAATTGGAGTTAGAGTATAAGTTCCATACATGAAATAAAATAAAGACAATTTTGTCGATACATTAACGAAGTAATTATATTCAAATTTCACAAGTGTCACAATGTTGTTTCACTTTTCTTGCTTTTCTAATGTGAATATTCATAACATATCCTCTATGGTTCTATTAAAGTTCTCCGTTTGTATATCAATTTGAGTATGATAGGCGGTTGATATTGCTAGTTTTGTTTTGAAAAAACTAAACAAAATTATTTAAAATAACCTAGTGAAGTGAGTACATGTATTCATGATGAACACTTTGTTTAAACCATGATTCACAAAAACTGCATCTAGATACAATTGAGTTAGTTATGGAACTATTGTCGTTTTTGTGGTTGGCATGATGTCAATCATCTTTCTCAATTTGTCCACAAAAACCATCACTGAATCATGTCTTAACAAAGTCTTTGGTAACTCACATACCAGATCCATGGTAACATGTTCCCATCGTTGTTTAGGAATAGGAAGACGCTGTAATAAATTTATTGGTCTTTTATTATTTGTCTTGTTTTGTTAACAAGCAACACAAATTCGAACATAAGACTCCACATTCTCACGTATCTTGGGTCAATAGTACACTCGTTGTATATTCTCCACGGTTTTCTCCACTCACACATAGCCTGCAATGGCTATGTCATGATTCGGTCAAAATCATTGTGCGCAAATCGTGATCTTTTGAACTCCATATCCGCCGTCGGTAAAACGCCAAACCTCGAGAATTTTTCACCTTTCTAGGTAGTAGTGCTCGCTGCCGAATCTTTTATCTTTATACTCCTTTGTGGCTTGTGTCATCTCCTTTGTCACTATTTGTCATTGTGCTTGTGTCATAATCCTTTGTGGCTTGTGTTATCTTGCTCCACCAATTAACTTGAATTTTCACTTCTACTACTTGATTCAAACAAAACATGCGTGTGAAAGCATCCGCAAGTTGATTCTTCTTCTCCACATTCAAAATCTTCATGTTGAAGCGTTGATGCCACTTTGCACATCGGATTTATTATTTAGATAGATCCTTTTGAGTTTCCAAATAAACCAAGGATTTATGATCTGTATACACCGCAAACTCATTATCACTCAAGTAATGCTTCAAATGTTTGGTTGTCAACATAATGACTAACTTTTCCTGTTGTGTTGTGTGATAATTTTGTTCCGCCGCCACCAACTTTCGAGAATAGAAAGCAATCGGATGCAATCCATCATCCCATTCTTGTTGAAATATGTCACCTACTGTTATACCTAATGCGTTACTAGCAAACTTGATGGGACGGTTAGTATCATTCCGCTTGAGTTTAGGTGCGTATAACAAAGCATATTTCAATGCTTGAAAAACTAACTCTTGAGCTTTTTTCCACCTTCATTTTTTACTTTTCCTAACATGGAAGTCAAGGCATGAGTTTAGGTGCGTATAACAAAGCATATTTCAATGCTTGAAAAACTAACTCTTGAGCTGTTTTCCACCTTCATTTTTTATTTTTCCTAACATGGAAGTCAAGGCATGAGCTAGGCAAGCAAAATTTTTCACAAATCTCTGATAGAATCCAGTGAGACCTAAAAAAATCTTGAACTGAGTTTGATCCTTAGGTGCTGTCTAGTTCTAAATGACATTTATCTTCTCACTCATCACTTGGATTCTTGCGGCTATAACTCTATGACCCAAGTAATCTATTTCAGATTTGCTAAATTCACATTTTGAAATTTTTGCATACAATTGATTGTCTCTCAAAACTTGAAGTACCTTTCATAAATGACTTCTATGATCATTCTAAGTTTTGCTATACACCAATATATAATCTAGAATAACAATGACAGTTTTATCTAAATAAGTGCGAAAGATATTGTTCATCAATCCCATGAATGTATCTGATGCATTAGTGAGACCAAAAGACAACACTAGATATTCAAAGTGGCCATACCTAGTACGAAAAGCTGTCTTGTGGACATTTTCATATGCAATTTGAATTTGACTGTAGCCGCTTCTCAAATCTAACTTAGTGAAGTACTTCGCTCCTTGAAATTGATCAAACAAATCATCCATACGAGGTAATGAATATTTGTTTTTCATTGTTTGCTAATTCAACCCTTGATAGTTGATGCATAGTCCCATGGATCTATCTTTCTTATTCACAAAGAGCACTGGAGTTCCATAAGGTGAAAACTTAGTTGAATGAATTCTTTGCTCAACATCTCCTCCACTTGAGCTTTGCATTGTTCCTAATCGTTTGGAGCCAAACGAAATGGAGCTTTGCAAGTGGGTGTACTTCTAGGTATCACCTCAATCTTGTGATCTGTAAGATCGGATGTTGCACATATGTACTAAGTCTTAGAAGTGGTCAAGTGATTAGGGATAATTAGTCAAGGCATAGCTAAGTCTAGCTAGTTATGACTAAACTAGTTAGTTATAACTAAGTTTAGTTAGTTATGACTAAGTTTAGCTACAATGTATATAGTTGGCGGAGTTCTAGAAGAGTGTAGTGAACACTTCTATTTTGTCTTTTACAAAATTCTAGATTCCAAGGGATTAGATATTTCACCAGAAGCTTGGATTTGATTGGTTTGACTCAATATATGAAAGATGATTGGATAGACTAAATCTAATGTTAAGTTAGTGGCTAAGAAGCTTGTAGAAGTTTAAAAGCTTCCAATGGCATGTCGTCACCTCAACCTTGGATTCCGGAGACTTCTAGAAGATTTAGCTAGGGTAATGACATGTTGCCACATATTGTGGGTCAGTCAAACTTACCTAGGTAAAAGTGAGTTAAGAGAAATTATCACATGTTTCAAGTAGTATAAATAGAGAGTTAGAGTAGCAACTCTCAAACAAGTTTGGAGAGTTACGTGTTAGGATTTTATTTATATATAAAAGGGTGACAATTTTCAGTACCTTGGAGTGTCGATGTGTGTGTGAGTTGGAGTGCTACCTTGACTGATGGTGTGAGTGAGTGTTTGGGCTATGAGTGTGAGGATGAATCCTAGTCTTCTAGAATCATGATGCGTTACCGCAAAGCCATCTGAGATACAACTGAGTGAGACCCAGGCCGGAGGTTGCAGATCTACTCGCCTCTTTGTTGGTAATCTTGCAGGTAGATCATATGGAAAAACATATTTATACTCCATAAAAATATCGTTCAAGGTTTCCGGGATGTAAAGTTTGTCAGTGGACCTAATATCTTTTATAAGTTCAAGGAAACATAATCTCTAGAAATGGATGTTTTAGCCATGACAAAAAGAGCCAAATTACTATTATGAGATTATATTCTATCTTCATAGATTTTCCACCCACTACCTGTAATCACTTGTCCTTTCAAATCTACCTCCGAATTATATTGCTCTATTCATGGCATTCCAAGGATGACATCATATCGAGCTAAATGAATTAGTCTCCATTCAATGCTCTCCTTGTATCTACCTATAGATAATTCTATATTCCGTGGTAGTGTTGCTATCACTTGTATTGTCTGTTTGGCAATTCAACTTCATCACTCACGTACTTTATTAACATCAAATCTAACTTCATAGCAACACGACTTGATAAAAAATTCTCTGTTGTTCCAAGATCAATTAAAATTCTCACCTTGTGTTCTTCCATCAAACCATTGGTGACAATGGGTTAAGCTTGCTTCTTACTCCTTCCATAAGCTCCCAACCATTACTATCTTCCAACCTCGCTTTTTCTTCACTTTGTAGAATCAGTAAGGTCGCGAGGCAAGTTTATTTGTGATTTTTGTTTTCTGAAACTTTTTCCTCCACCTCTTCATACTCTATCCCCTCCATGTTGTTGAACTATTGTCGCTGTTTGGACCGTACTCCTTGTGGTGCCGGTCAAAATTCGGCAAAACTTGGCAATGTGACCCATTCGTCCACATGCATAACATTGACGATTGTCACGAACTCCAGTTTCTCCTCGTACCATTCCCTTATTGGCATAACCTTCTTGCAAATTTTGAACTTTTGGTCAACGCATCTCACCTCCAAGTCTTGGCGATGGTCATCCTGTTGGTGCAAAACCTTCTCTATGTCAAAGATTTTCCAATTCCATAAATGTTGGGCCAGATGGATTTCAAAAATTGCTTACTGATTCACCGTGTGTGACACCAAAAGCACTCAAAATTCGTTGAACAATTGCGATTGCTTCATTCACTGCAGATGGATTGCTTACGATCAACTCCTTTCAAATTTGATCTTTCAAGCCTTGTTTTAACACGTCTAAGGCTTCTTCACCATTTATATCTATGATAAATATTTAAAGATTAAGATTTTTTCAATGTATTTATGGATACGTCATTTCTGCTTCAAATCTCACAACTTCATTTTTGTAGTTTGAAGAGAGTTCATTGTTTAAAAATTTTGCAGAAGTGTTTATTGCATTCCATTTCACAAAATGGTAACACCTCGTTCTAACAACATTCTCTCCTATATTGTGTACAATGTGAGAGCCTTATCCGTAAGATAAGATCTCATGAATATTCCTGGAATGTAATTAGAAA